GACATCAGCCATGACAAATAAAGTGGGTGTTTTGTTTGTCAACAGCAAGCAATTTTGGGTATTTGGTTCAAATTGCAATCTTAGGAGAGGTGGGGGGACACACACTCCCACCCCTTTCCCAACGCTCTTAGAATCAAATTGTTGCTGTGTGCAGTTTTTTTAAAGTTCTAGACAAAATGGATAAATGTTTGTTCTGGGTGGGGTGGTTGCCAATTTCCAAATAGGCATAGAATTAACCATAAGAACCAGGCAACTTTTTGGTGTTCAAATCATTGGCAATGCAGGGATCCTGTAAACTTCCATGATAGTTTTAACAGGCCGTGATTGGAAGATGGGAGCTTCTGTACACGATGGGGCAGGGAGGGGCACTGGGTCTGTTTTTAACTATCAAATGTAGATGATGACTAGATATTGCAGTGACGAGAGTTCTGTACAAAGCTGGTAAAATGTTAAGGTTTTTGCTTTCAGTAATTTGTTGCTTTTTTGTGGTTGTTCATGCACAGCCATTGGAGTCCGGTCGCACTATGTCATGCCACTAAGGCCTGCTATTTTTTTCCGCCACCAAATTGTGAGTTTTGCACAGAGTTTTGCCTCTCTTTCTCTAATGTCCACATTTGTCTTTTGGATTGCCTCGAACGCTTTTGAAATTTTTATTCAATGACTTACAGCTCCCAGTTTTACAGCTTCTGGGAAGCAGAATCCACCGCAAATTTCTAACATACTAGGACTGTGTTCGTGGCTTCAGTTGAGATGAGAATTTGACATTGGGCCTGGCGCCTATTTGCTGTTTCGATCTGCCTGTTCCTGCCCTTCTTCCCCCAGGACCTCAAGTTGATTCCTTCCTCCTGCTACAATCATTTTTAATTTCAAAAATGGGGCTGAGATGGCCTAACGGGGTACTGAGGGCTTTGAGTTCTCCCCCAAAGTACCAACTCCAGCTTTACCTCAAACTCTGATTGGTAAACAGCCAGGAAAGTGCTGAAAATCCCACTGGCTTCTCTTAAAAATAAAATTAAAAAATGTCTGAACAAGCTCTCTGACAGAAAGTGCTGGGAATATAGGACCCCTCAGCCATTTCCCACCCATTGTCAAAAGTTAAATATGGGTTTAACATGATTGTGTAACGTGAGTAGCTTGGGAAACCACTTTTATTTTTGGTTATTTGTTTCTTTCTAACCATCGAGCAGTCTGAAGATGGCTCGGAGACAGTATGCAGAAAATCTGTAACATGTTTTCTGTGTGGCAAAAGCCTACTTGGCAAGCCAAGGAAAAGTGACTCCTTTCCAAAAGGGAGGGAACGAAAAATTATTTTTGCTGGTTACGTTAATACCTCAGCCTATCACTGTGAGCTTAACCTGGAAAGCTAGGTGCATTGGGACTCCACAAGAGGACGGTTTGACCTGTTCGCTGCCATTTTAATTATAGTTTAGTGTGCATCCTATTTTGCCCCAAGAGTGAGGGTGAAGGCATCCCCTGCTTGTTCAGTGCTGCTATGCATCTTGGCTTATATCTGCACATCATCCCAGAGAACAAGAAGCAGGGCATTTAGTATGCTGAAGTCCTTCTGAACTTGATAGGAAGCAAGTATATTTTCAAAGTCCGATGGGCATAACCAACAGACCCTTAAGATAACGGGAAATGTCGTCCTTAGCGCAACACAACTGCAAATCCAAGCCAACGTAACTGTCATGGTTCCCTCTCCCAGCCCATTGCGCCCTGGGAAGTGTAGTTATTTGAGGAGCCTAGAGATCTCTTAATCAAAGAGCTCTCAGCTCCACCAGAAAACGTTGGAGACGAGGATGATTCTTTTAAACAGGCACAGAACCCTGCAGTTTGTTAACAGATGCTGAACATTGATAGGAGACCATTCTAAGACCCCAATTCCCAGAGTGGTTTAACACTCAACCTCTTTTCCCTGGGAACTCTGGGAATTGTAGGTTTGTGAAGAGGGTCGGGGTCTCCTAACAATGTTCAGCACCCTTAAGAAACTACAGTTCTTGAAACATAAAGAGTGTGGATGAAGCCTTTCATATCTTCATCCAGCCTTGTGCAAATTAAGCTGGTATAAATACCTCACTCAGGCTATGTTATGGGGAACTTGGAGGGCTCAGAAGAGGTCGACAAGTTTTCCCACGGGATGGCTTGATTGCTAATACCCACCTTACCTTGCACTGAGGTGGGAGATGCGCTCTCTGTTTAATGTGGGGCATTAATGGGGTCACGCCTAGCAAGTATCCCCCACAAATATAATGTGCCCCAGCATCCTCTGCAATGTGATGGGGTTCGGTGTCAGGCATGCCAGGATTGCTTGGCAAACTCAGACCTGTTCAGGCACCCTGGCCTGCACAATGGTGGGAGAATATCCTTACTGGCCCCTTCCCCTCTGCCATATGCCCACCAGCTACAGAGAGGGACCGATAGAGAAAGAACAAGCCTCCTCTTTCTAGAATTTGACATAAATGGAATTCATTGGCAAGCTGGTTTGGTTTTTCCTTACCTTTAAAGGCCTGCTGGAGAGGAATGGGGCGGTGAAGAAACTTAAAGACTTCAGGGGCATAAATGACTTCGGGGCGATGAGGGCAGGGTAGGGCAGGGAGCTGTGAAAAGCAAATAACCCTATGACCATTGGAACTTCCATCCAGGCTATTTCTGGTGGTTGTTTTTAAAGCATGCATTTAAGCAGTGCCAGGAGGTCTGGAAACCTTAACCTGGGAGTGTCCTTCCAGATTCTTAGCAAATATGTGGAATATTCACAGCCTACACAGTTAATACTAGGTTGGGGTTTCCATGTGGAGTTCTAAAGGTAGCGGGGTGCAGTGGAACTCTTAATGGCTAATATGTTTTGGAAAATTGACTTTGTGCTCACACTTTGGTTCTCTTAGGACCAAATCTGGAATGTTTTTAAATGGAATCTGGTCCACAGGCCAGATTACTTTCTTCTTCTTTTTTCCTTTTTCCCCCCATATGCCTTCTGAAGATTTCTCAAGGTATCCCGAGTCTTAGGTCACCCAGAAGTACCGGCATATCCAAAAACGGTTGTTTAACATGCTTTAGAATTAAAAAAACAAGGCTTTGGAAGCCAGACCCGTAGCCGTGAAGAGGAATTAGACTCGGGCACTTATAATGATCCTAGAGTCATTCATCTGACCTGGCTTTTTTCATTTTGAAAGATGGGAACAAAACAAGGTCTTTCTTTTTTAAAAGATGTGTGCCAGATATGAACTTGGCTTTTCAAAAAGTTTTTGAAATTGAAGAGGCTCTGTCATAACTTTATTACTTGGAGGATACACAGGTGTTAATAGCTATGAAATTTACACATGCATATACTACCTCAAAGTTCACAGTAAGATACGAATTCTAGAAGAGTGTGTGTGTGTGTGTGTGTGTGTGTGTGTGTGAGAGAGAGAGAGAGAGAGAGAGAGAGAATTATCCACACTCTGAGGCTGTTTCCCTACATAAGCCTTGAAGAAGATGAAAAAAAAGAATCGTAGGATTGTCTGGCTACCACCATTTCCCCTTAAATTGGGACAGCTACCTCAAGGAAGAGTAGTAAAGATAACTTACGCAGTGGAATGGTGGCTTCTCTCAATTTTTGCCATAGCTGCACCGCAAACTCTTACCCTTCTCTTTAGTTCTGGTGCAGTGGGATCCAGTAAAACTGGCTTAGTGGCAGTGTCTGGCCAAAGTACAGCAGGGGCCCAAAAGCTCATGAGCATGTCACCTGTGAATTCTGCTCTCTCTCTCTCTCGAGAACTTTGTAAGTTCTGCAACAAGGAAACTAAAGTGGTGCAAGCCGAAACTCCAGTTTTCACGACTGAGATGGGTTATTCTGAAAATCGGCAACGTTAGCCATAGCTGCTCAGAGATTACCTTCCACTTAATCTCGTGACAGCTGGCATTGCTTGGCATGGATTTGAGGGGCAGGGTATATAGAAAATAGAAAGCTGCCTTACACCAAGTAAGGCCAATGGTTCATCTAGGTCAGAATGATCTACAACACTGACAGGTAGCAGTTCTTCAGGGTTGCGGGCAGGAGTCTTACCTGGAGATGCCGGAGATTATACCTGGGGCTTCCTGTGGGCAAGACATAGGCTACATCCATCCTGGGACAGGGGCTTCGAGTTTTAAGGACCTGTGCCTTTGTTCTGTCCTTTCCTTGAGTCTCAAACTTGGGTCTCAAGCTGGTTTTGGACTACAACTCCCATCATCCCTAGCTAGCAGATCCGGTGGTCAGGGATGATGGGAATTGTAGTCCAAAAACAGCTGGCGACCCAAGCTTGGAAAACCCTGCTCTCTAGACCATAATAGACCTATCTTATTTCACAGCTGAATTGATTCACATGCCAGAAGCACATGCAGGCATGATCTCTTGCCGCTTTTCATTCAAAGGCTCTTAAGTCTGCTCAGTCTGTTACGTAGTTCAGTTACAACATCAGAGCAAATAAGCCATTCGCTAGCAGCTGACGTTTCCAAGCCATGTGCTAGGATAATGTTAATAAACAGAGACACCCCACCCCAGTCTCCTGTTTGAATCAGAGAGTTTTTTCTAATATCTTCAAGAAGCAACAAGCTGGATCCTGCTGCACCAAACCTGGAGAAGAGAGGGGAGAAGCCATTACCCCTTTATCTGTAGCTCCCCCCCAGAAGAACTCGGAAACATGAAGACATTACAGATCTTAAGTTCCTTGGGAAGACAGTTTGAAAATGCCTAGGGGGCAGTGTTGGTGCATCCTGTTTTTCAGCCCAGGAACAACAACTGAAAATGCAAACAACGAATTTTAGTAAACAGGCTGGATAGCTTAGTCCAAGGCATTGTGCCAACTGGAATTTTCTGTAATCAGGCCACATTGGATGAGAGGGATCATCTACCAGCAGCTGCATGGAAGGTCCGTTCAGATGAAAGAGTTTGACTTGCACACAGCCAGCTGAGAATTGACCCAGGAGTTCTTCTGTAGTTGTTCTATACTGAACAGAACTGGTGGGAGGTAAGACGTCTGGCCATGTTTTGTGAAAGCAGGGAAGAGTCAGATAAGGTGGATATAGGCCATATTTTACTCAGCAGCAGCTCACTGTGTGCATGTGGAGCCACAGAGGAAGCTGACCATTCAAGTGACGTTTTAGCAAGCATCCGTAGTAAGAATGAATGCAAGTGGTGTCTCTTATGCGGGAGAGTACAAAAACAAACAAACCCCGCAGCATTCAGCTTAAACATGTTGGAAGCTGATTGTAAGAATCTGCAAAGGGTGAGAATCACTTGCCTTCTAATAGGCAAAATACGATGGTACATCACCATTTGTTCCGTTCACACCCTGGCTTAAATTTTGGCTACACAACCCTCTTGAAAATAATAATAATACAGTGTTAGTCTTCGCACTCCTTTAAATCTGTATTTGAATCCTGCATCTTTGTCATCGGTTACAGAATCTTTTTACACGTTTGACTTTTTGAAAGCTAAATTATCTCCCTTGGTTTGCAGTTGGGTGTACAGGCAAAAGAGGACAGCCGTGTCAGGCAAGGATCTATTTGATACAAGTGGCATTCAAAACACGAAGCGCGTCTAGCTGGAATGGCAGTGACGGTAAACTAAGTAGTAGTTATGGGGAGAGTGTCAGAGAGAAGAAGGCAAGATTCCTGTCACTGGTCCCTGCCTACAATATATAGCATTCCCCTCGCCCCAAAAAAGCATGTGCTTTTTGATGGAATGACTGGTTTACACAATTTTCAGGGAAACTGGCATCTTTTTGGCATTTTGTTGCCTACATACAAGATAACAACCATTTGGCGCAGGTGTCTGATTTAAACTGTACGCAACTATCAGATATCCTGAAGCAGCGGCGGGGGGACGACGACCCACTTATTCCTTCAAAATACCCTTCTGCTGAATATAATAAGCTGGCCTAGCCTTATCTGCCTCCCAAGGGTGGTGCAAGGGCCAAACAGAGCAGGTTGTGGAGCAATACCTTCTGCTTCTTTGATTCTGTAATCACAAAGGGAATACAGAATTTGTTTCCTGGCTGTGCCTATAGAAATGGAACCCTCTCGACCAGGATTTAGCTGTCCGGAAATCTAAACAGTTGCCCTGTTCTAGAGTGGCTGAATCAAAGAGTGCCTAATACGTAGGGTGGAGTATTTGAGGTTGTGTGTGCATTTTTAGTTGGCGGTGTGAGTACCACGCTCACTCACTGAACACCGACAGCACCCTTTTTAGATTTAAAATCCTACTTGCACCTGTGGATGCCGTTAGCCAGATCAGGGTCTGCTGTCTGCTTCCAAAAAGCAGAAACTTGGCTGGACCAGCTTGAGTCTAGCCCTAGCACCCCTGCTTTAAAACAGCGGTGCCTGAGTAATAAAAGGGTTCTGTAGGACTCGAAAGCTCACTTCTAGCCTTTCAAATGCCTGCCCTGCTCCAGCATTTCTCCAGCAAATAGGAATCCTAAGTCACGGCTTCCTTAAATCTGACACTCTCCCTTTTAATCAGGGTCATTCCGGGCACTGCATGTTCATGATGGAAGAGGGAAAAGACCCCCCAGCACCAGCCCGTGCCTTGGCTTAGTTCAGGTTGGGTGCCACCCCCCCACCTCCCCAAGCCTCTCAGCCAGCGTTATCAAGCAGCACCCCAAAGTGCCTGTTTGAGCTGCATGTCATGCCAGCCTAAAGGGCATGACGACCATATATACATATAATATGAATGAATATAACCAATTCATGTTTGTTTATCTACCTCTTAGCACCAATAGATTAAAAAAAAATAAAAATAAAAGTAAATAGGGTAGTGGATAATACAACATGCTGTGTAGTGTAGGGAGAAAAATACTTCTGTTTTTTTTCCAAAGAAATAATTGTTCTGCTTAATAAATAAATAAATAAATGAACTAGAAATGACGGGCGCTCTCTGCATTTTAAAGCAGACTTGGGGGGGATTTGTAGAGGGCTGTGGAATGATGGGCTAGAGGCAAGGTGTGTCTGCAGGTAAAAGATGCTTGTTGCGGCCGACGTGTTTCCGCAACGGGCGCATCGCAGAGCAAGCCGCAGTCTTGATTCCTGCTACGGAATCACTGGGACAAGTCGCTGGCCCCGATCCAAAGAACAACGGGGGCAGGGTGTGGGGCGTGTTTAAACTGTGTGTGTATGCACGCCCAGGAACATCAGGAGTGAGCAGAGTAGGCGCATACAGGAAACCACCAAGTCTGTGGCTTCTACAGGTTAGATTGCGTTTATTGCTGGGACAGAGAATCTCGGCTGCTCGAGAATCCATCTGTAAAATGGTGGCAAAATAATCCCTTGCCGCTTTGCTGTGAGGGAGGGTAAAGGCAACAGAGACTGGGAAGCAGTTTCTCTATTGAGAAACTAATTCACAGCCACAAGCTATTTTGACAACAATGCTCTCAGGGCAGCTGCTGGTGTTCCAGCAAGGCTTCATTGCCCAACTCCCCTCTACAAGCCGATTAACCCTGGTTTTTAAAGTGTGTGTTAGTTTGTAAGAGCCCCGCAACCTCAACTGTTTCGTCCCCCCTTTTATGACTTTGTTTTAAATGCACCACCTGATTATTTGTTTCTCCTCTTTCCTAACAAAACCCCATCATAAGTCCCCACTCCCATTTTCTTTCCACGGTCTTGGCGTAAGCGCTGACAAGAGTTGAGACAGCTATCCAGCAGTGATTGATTGAATTGTGCCTTAGATCCACAAGTGCATAGTCTTTTGCAAATCTTTTCCTCGTTTGAGGGTACTGAACACACACACACACACACACACACACACACACACCAACAACCTCACTAGATCTGTGTCAATGGTTAATTGAAATAACTTGAACTGGGGGGTGGGGGTAGGAAGGACTCGTAAGAATTGTTTTGTTGGATGAGAGTCCATAAGTCCAGCTTTAGGCTAGCAGTCTTGATTCCAACAGTAACAACTTAGATGGCTCTGGGAAGATCAGAGCGAGAAATGACAGTCATTTTCTAGCCACCTGTTTTGCCACCAGCATCAGAAATACTGCCTCTGAACATGGAAGGGTTAGTTAGGTAACCTGGTAAATGTCTCTAATCTTTCTCTGAAGCCATCTCAGGTGTGAAAAAAAGCAAGAAGTTTACTTCTTTCAGTTACTTTGCTGGAGACCTTGTATTAAAGCTATTTTGCTACTTGGGTGTAGGTCCCAATTCCTTCAGAGCAATCGGTTGTTAAAACGATTTTATGACAAGTCACATGTATATGCAACGAGGTTATGTGAATTTGGGGGGGGGGATCTGTTTGCCATACAATATTATAAGGACATGTAAAAAAAACAACAGCGTCCACTGTTTTCTCTTTTTTATTCTAAGCCATTGAAATCATCACAAATTCAGACTAAATCTGAAAGGCTGTGCTCTTAACAATTGTTTTCCTCCCTTTTGGTCAACTGTATTAAAAAAAAAGGTTTTTGTTTTTGTTTTTTTAATCTTTTTTCTCTTTCAATTCCCCTTTCTGTTCTTAGACTCCTTGTCTATTGCATGAGGCAGGTTAGTTGGCTCACATCCAAAGTTGCGACTACAGATGGACTGCGAGCTCCATTTTTACTTCCAGCTTGGTTATTGCCACAAACTGCTTTACTCCACTGTTTCATTTTTTTTAATAAAACGGAAAAAAAATCATATTTTAATTTGTGCCCTGATTTAATATTCAAATCATTATTAATGGTGCTTTTCATGTGCTTTCATCCTTACAACATCCCTGTAAGGTAGGGCGGGGGAACTTTTCCAGACCAAGGGCATCTCTGAACATTCCCTGAGTTTGATGGGGAACCGCAACCGACAAACCATGGCTGCATGCAAAATGCCTAGCCCAATTTAGCAGCTACAGCCCTACGTGATTAGAGCCAGTAAATCACTTTGGGAATAGGGAGTGAAGTTCTGACTTCAATATTCCTCTTCCCCTGCAAAAAAAAAAGTTGACCAGGGTATTATCACTGACCACCTCTGACTAGGGCTACAGTTCCATTGGCTGATCTTCTCAACTATGGTTCAGTTGAGTCTGTTCCAATCACCCCATAAAAGGTATGCCTCTCTTTTTTTGTCGGCTTAGAACATTTCAGACAAAGCATCCCAAAGACCATTCTTGGGAGCAAGTCTGCAAATAGAAGATTGTTCGGGACCAGCGTCCCTCGCTCCAGGCCTGCTGCAGCTGGCTAGCCACCGCCCTCCCAATCGCCTTGCACAGGAAGGGAATAATACGAGACAGCTCAGTAACATTTCTAAAGGCTCTGGAGTCAGGAGGGCGTCTCCAAGTTGGGCCTTCTCACCACCCCTTTCAAGGCAGTGAGCAAAACTCCTGTAATGAGGCATTAACCACTCCCTGCACCCACTGAGTCAATCCCTTCCTACTAGATTTTACCACCCATGATGGGCTGAGTTCAAGAGGGAATGCACTCAGCCTCATGGCCACAGGTATCCTGTCCATGCCATCATCCCCTGGAATTGGTCCCCCAGCAGTGCTGCTCATGGGATCTCTCAACAGACCTGGACTAACTGGCATGAGTGAGTTTTTTGCCCTCAAAAGTGCCTTGCAGATTTTTCACAGCAGGCTACTGAGTGGTCTATTGCAAATGAAGAGGTACCAACCAATTTAACAGTCTCTAGACAGCTCTGTTGAGCGATTCACTCAGGAAGCAACGGGGGGGCTGAGATACATATATGCTCTTTGCCACAGGCACATGAAAGGTGAGGCTGTGTACTTGCACCTCTATGTGGTCGGATTCAAGCCACGACTTGTACCACCTGTGCTCCAGTTGTTGTCTAGCTTGCTTCATTGCCCAGAGGGCCTCAGAAAACCACAAATTCCTGAATTACTTGTGGTCAGACAGGGAGCTTCGGCGTGATTGTGCCAATGGCCTTCTCTCCATCTCAGTATTCCACCGTGAAACGAGTGCCTTGACAGGAGCACCAGTCATACTGCCTGGAAAATTCCCCCAAAGCATTCAGGAATACCTCAGACTCTATCTGTCTCCAACTTAACTGGTCCTCCAGACCTGGGGGTGGGGGCAATCACAGCCAGGCCAATCCACAACAGAAAGCAATCTGCCCATGTGAAAATAGGGTGATGGCTGCCCACTCACCAGATCCTTGCCAGTCCCCTATGTGGCAAAAACAGACCCAGGGTATATAACCTATGACATATGTCAGGTGCACGTTGTACTGAAACAGCTCCATGGTTGTCATGGAAAGCCATGAAGTCCAGAACCAACACCAAACCAGAGATTGACCTCAAGAGAGGGAGGTGGTTGGGCAGCAGGATAGTGCAGATAAGATCCCCGTTGTGCCAGACACCAAGTACAAATGTTCACATTGAGTTCCCTGAGGGACTGGCCTTGTGTTGGGAATGACAGGACTTCTGGATGACAGCTGTGTGTCACCATGTCCCTCTGACCTTGACTGATACTGCACAAAATACCCAGGTGGACAAAGCTGGGTAGGGTCAGCCGCCACTACCTGCTTGCCCTCCTGCGTCTCCGTAACACGCACCAGGTAGACCAGATCAGCCATGATCAGATCATGGCTGAGTTCTTTTCTGGACTCACCCGGTGTTAGCCAATAGTGTCACCAGGTCAGCATAGGTACTAAAGTCTACTGAACAGCTGAACAGGGACAACTAACATCAAGAGTCTGGCTTCCCACTCTCCTATGACGATGTCGCCTACTGCCCTTTCCATAGCTCTCTTCCCCAAGACCACTGGATCTTCCCTACCTGTTCCCTCTGACCCAGACTTGTCTTTTGTTTGCTGCGTTTGGTTTTCTCCACTCAACTCCACCAAAGGAGCAACTGCTCAACTCCACCAAAGGAGAACCAACTGCTCTTCCCACCCTCTCCAGTTAGGAGTTACGGGAGGGACAAAATAATAGTATCCTACTCTGTGGGAGGATACTGTGCCCCAAGTGCAAGTGAACAACTGCCCTGTGAAGAGTGCAAAAGGGTCTAACCACCTCAAAGTTCACTCCAAACTAGCTCCTTACCCCTCCTTAGCCAAGAACCTTCCCACTTGCACCAGGGGCTTGACTGTCACTCACAACCCATATGCAGCCTCAAACTCCATTCCATCTTCTATCATTAAGGCTGTCTATCACAAAAATGTACCACAGGTTCTTGTTCCTGCCCCTTGTCTCCCCAAAGGAGTGGCTCCCTTTGGTGTCTCCCCTTTGGGGTTGTCCCCACTGGAGTCGGCCCACAGCTGACTCCCTTTTTTAATCTCTTTCAACCCAGTTAGCTGATAATTATGCTCTGAGGATCAGGGGCTTGCACTCACTCCCTTCAACACAGCCTCCTCCTGTTGCATAAAAAAGATCAGAAAAAGCAACCTGAAATAAAAACTAGAGTGGAAAGGAAAGATGGGTCAGCATTCACAGGTTTGCTTCATGGTTTTAGCTGGCTTTAAAAACAGCCAGGGTGAAAGTCCGTAGAGAAATTAAATTCCACTTTAGCACAGCATACAACTTCCATATACTGCCTTTAACACAGAGCAGATAACAAAAATGGCCGCCGTCTCACCACACAGGCATCTCAGTGGAAGAAGAGTGTGTTTGTGGCAATCCATGGCACTTTAAATACACATTTCACAGTAGGGTCCTGTTGCGAGAAACCCCCCAACAGGGAAGTCCCACAAAAGATGATATTAAGCAAGAGCTCTGGTTTTCAGTCAGTGGCTTTTGGCCGCTTTTGTGGCTCCAGTCAGTTGCTTGTTCCAAGATAATCGACAGTCCCTTCAGGTGAGCCCATTGCCACTTGAAAGATGCCCTCTAGGGGATTCAGGAGCAGTAGAGTTGAAATACGGCAGTCAAGCCTTTGTGTAGCATTTCATCCTGTTCTTAAAGTAATGTAAAGCCAGTTTGAACCGGACCTGCTCCTGAGTATTGGCCCGGAATCTGCCGTAAGTCTTCTCGACGTCAGCCTCTCGTGTGTTTTTCGCACTGCCGTGTGGCTGGTGACCGACGACAACATGATTGCAGGAGCCGACTCGCAAAATACCCAGTCCATCCATAAAATATTCTGAAGGGAAGATTGGGGCGAGAGAAGTCAGTGGACTAGGGTTAGGAAACCTCTGAGCCTCCAGCTCTTGCTGGACTACAACTCCCATCATCCCTGACCATTGGCCATGCTGGCTTCAGCTGACATGAGTTGGAGTCCAGCAACACTGGGGGGGGGGGGCAGTCACAGGCTCCCCATCCCTGCAGTAAGTAAATCACTTAGACGACATACTTTTGAATAAGAGACCACCGTTCATACTTGTTCTCTGCATGTAGGAAGCACATGGAGCAGGGCCGCAACTCCTGGCCAACCTACACATTAAACGTAGATGTCTCAAACATGAACTCTACAGCTGAGCAGCTGCCCTCACCTCCATGCAATCTGTTCCCCTGATCACACAGAGGTCTTGGCCACGTGGCTACTACCCTTCCCACAGACATCTGGTTTGCTCCTGTGTGAACTTGATTCTGGATTATCATTAGATGGGCCTTTGGCCTAATCCAGTAGGCTTTTCTTAAGTTCTTATGATGGCCATGCCAAGAGCAGAGGGCATTGTGCAGGCTACCCCCTTTCAGATGCCTGTGTATTAGGGAGTGTGGGTGACCACTGGGATAAGATAACTTAGCAAGCCAGCCTTCTCAAAGGCTTTCAAAGCAGAGGCTCAACAGTAATGTCTTGGGGATGTTTTCATTCTGGGCTTGATGGCCTACACCACCCCCCTCCAACTATATGATTCTATGAAAAGGAAGACAGGAAACTCAATTTGCAATGCTCATTCTGACCTCACCCGGAAAATTAGCTTCTGAAAAAGACAGGGTTTCAAACAGGTGTGGGGCTTCTAGCCTGGGCGCAAGTCTCATTTTTGACCCATGGGGCCTTTCCTCTCCAAACCACACCCACCTGCCCCTACGCCACGGGGGACCAGTGACATAGCATGGGTTGCCAGTGCCCGGGGTGTGTGTGTGGGAGGTAGGGAAACGGACGGAGTACCCATGCACATCCAACTGCCTAATGGCGCCCACGTCACCCAGGAGATTGCAGCCACAGAGATGAGAAAAGAAGAGTCGATCCTTTATCTGGAGAGGTCACTTCCTGGTTCGTATGGAGAAGCTACTTTTAAACAGAGTCCAGCAATGGAAGCAAGCAGCTGTATTGAGGCAGCACCGGGTTGAAATTTTGTGCCCAGGGCAACTGCCCCTCTGCCCCCACCCAAACTATGCCACTATAAGGTGACGTCAGGTAGAGACCTACTTACTTTCCGCTGGTAAAAGGTAAAGAACCCCTGGACCGTTAAGTCCAGTCAAAAGGGACTATGGGGTTGTGGCGCTCATCTCACTTCAGGCTGAAGGAGCCGGCGTTTGTCCACAGACAGCTTTCTGGGTCGTGTGGCCAGCATGACTAAACCGCTTCTGGAGCAATGGGACACTGTGACGGAAACCAGAGCACATGGAAACGCCGTTTACCTTCCCGCCGCAGTGGTACCTATTTATCTACTTGAATTGGTGTGCTTTCAAACTGCTAAGTTGGCAGGAACTGGGACAGAGCAATGGGAGCTCATCCTGTCGCAGGCGGGGATCCGAACCGGCGACCTTCTGATTGGCAAGCCCAAGAGGCTTGCTGCTTTAGACCACAGCGCCACCAGGGACAATGTTAGCACTATATATAATCTGGAGGTTTGTGGAGTGGGTGGGGCATGTGACCTTACCTGAGTGAGCCACCCTTTGCAGCTTAGGGTCAAACCCAACACGCCTGCTCTCCTCAGTACGAGCGAGGAAGAAGTTGACTACGCCGCTGGCGACCACACAATTGGGAAAGCCTTTCAAGCGGTGGTAAGAGCCATATCGGATGTGCAGACAACTGCTGTCCTCTCCTTCCTCATAGATGACCTTAAACTTGTAGTCATTGCCACCAACGCTGCCTCCGACCTATAAACCACACAGGCACCTATCAGCACTTGATAGACTTCACCATGGTACTGTTGCCATTGAAACGCCAAGTCCTTTCCACAGCAGGGTTGGGGAAGCTGTAGATATTGTTGGGCTCCAACTCCCCTATCCCTGACCACTGGCCATGCTGGCTGGAGGTGGAGTCGCAATATTTGGAGGTCCAACACTTCCCCATCCCTGGACTAAAGGATGCACCCAACTAATTGGGCAGCTGGTTACATATTAAAACTGGCAATTATTTCTAGAAGAAGAATCTGGACAGACTACAGATGGAAGGATATTCTCACATGGAGTCTTCAAAGATGATGCTTGCATGTGACACGTGGATGCAACCTCCGAAAACGAAAAATGCTTCCGAACGGCCATTTTCTTAACCACATGCAAATTTATACAGATTTCACTGAGCAGTTAAATGCATGCAGATAATTGGCCTGCAATCTTACACATTCTTACCAGACCTACTGAGCACAGTGGAACTTGCTTCTGAGTAAACATGCACAGGATTGTGGTGTAAGATTTCTTCAACTAGGTTACAGCTGCAACCTAAAAGCACAGCCTCCTTACGTGCTATTGAATCTGTTAGAGCAGTGTTTCCCAAACGTGGGTCTCGAGCTGTTTTTCGCACTACAATTCCCATCATCCCCGACCACTGGTCTTGCTAGCTAGGGATGATGGGAGTTGTAGTCCAAAAACAGCTTGAGACCCAAGTTTGGGAAACACTGTGTTAAATGGATTCAGAAAGGGACCCAAAAGTTGTTAGGAGCAACCGTTCGTTAACCTCTCAGACCCATTCCAGTTGTGTGGCTTGTTCTAGGAATGCAGGAAAAATATCTACACTGGCCAGAGTTGGGTTGGGAGGCTAGTGGACAGCGTGGCAAAAAAATACATACCACATCCAAGTTGCTGTTCTCCAACACTTCCACTAGTTTCTCGATCTTGGTGTTTGCGGTGAACACGAAATCATCATCCACCCAGAGGTAGTATTTGGTCGTGACCTGAGAGATGGCCAGGTTCCTTCCTGCAAACCAGCCCTGAGGAAGTGAATCAGGAAGGAGTATCAGGCTATGTCAGTGGTGTGTTTTTGTTAGGGAGCTCTTTCCACAGCAGAATATCTGCCTCCACCACCTGCATAAAATTCAGCCTGTCAGTTGGGTGCTACACCTGATGTTTCCATGTAAGGCTTTAGGGCAGCCTTTCTTGGTGGCCTTCCCGAATATAACGGAAAAGTTAATAATAGATACAATAAATTGGAAGAAAAGGGATAAGTTGAATAAAAAGGGATGGACAACGGAAACCAGAAAAGGGCAGGGAGGAGTCAAGGGATTCTGAGAATCCTAAATGTAAAGATAATTGATACATTTAAATTGAAATTTGTTATGTAAAATTTAATAAAAAATATTTTTATGTTTATTTTTAAAAGGGAATGAGACAGACTGGGGAATTGGGAATGCCAAAATCCAGGGAGAAAGGCAGGTGATAAATTTGAATGCATCCCTTCTTACACACACACAGCACACACAAACCCAGGTATCTGTCAGAGGAAAACAGTTCTGCTTGCTTGGAGTGAGGCACAGAAACAAAGACAATAAGCGGCGTGAGCCATTTTCATGGAAATCACAGGCAGGTCATCCAACCCCCCCAAGTACCGTATGTCTGAAACACTAAGCTTAGAACTAGACATATCCCCCCTAGATCCTAGAATGAACACGTTCACATTGCACTATGCCACTGATGTTGGCTTCAGAGCAGGGTTTCCGAAACTCCAGCTGTTCTGGACTACAGTTCCCACCATCCCTGACCACTGGGTCCTTCTAGCTAGAGACCAGAGGGACATCACCCAGCTGTGAGTCGTGAAGGCCGCTCCCTGCAAGGCCCTTTCCACCTGGCCTAGCGGGTGGGGCCCAGACTCACCAGCTCTTCTAAAGAGGCACCTAGTGAAAATGGAGGGACATCGCTATGCCTGACAACAAACCCTAACTATTGGATTCTTTTGGCCCATCTTTTTGTGCCTGCCAAACAGCCGTGTCCTGCTTACGATAACATTTTAAGGTAGAAGGACCCCTGACCATTAGGTCCAGTCGTGGCCGACTCTGGGGTTGCAGCACTCATCTCGCTTTATTGGCCAAGGGAGCCAGCGTACAGCTTCCGGGTCATGTGGCCAGCATGACTAAGCCGCTTCTGGCCAACCAGAGCAGCGCACGGAAACGCCGTTTACCTTCCCACCAGAGTGGTACCTATTTATCTACTTGCACCTCTTTTATCCTCTTGTTAATTATGCTGTTCAAATGTGCTTTTTATATTTGACTTCACTTAGTAATGGTGTTTTTTTAAAAAAAAATGTTTTAAAGTTTTATTTAGTTGACTTTTGTTTATGTTAAATACGTCTTCTGTAGTTGACCTCTCCTTTGTAATGTTTCATTTTGAAATCTTTAAGATAATATTTTAGTTTTCTGTTAATTATGTTGCTTTGACTGTATACTCTATATATTTGACTTTCTTCAGATGGATTTATTGATGTTTTAATATTCTGTTAACCGCTTTGAGATTTTTCTTAAAAATATAAAGCGGTATAGAAATGAAATAAATAGTAAATAATAATGATGGGATTTGCAGTCCAAAAAACCCTTCCAAAGCCGCTTACAATTAACATCCAAATATTTCAATAAATGGTATTTTTTAAAAAAAAGCAATATAAAAATGTAATTTTCACAATTCTACTCACAGGCCAATAGTTGGTGGCAGATGGCCCGGGAGATAGGTGGGTGGGAAAAGTGTGGACAGTTCAGCTCAAATAAGCTCTGGGTCTCTCTCTTTTTTACTCAACACATACACTCTTCTCCTACTCCATCTCACAGGGCAGTTAGTGGCAAATGGCCCTGCCTGGGGAGGGAAGCAGAGAAAGGCATTCTCCCCCAGCCCTGCAAGATCCTCTTTCCATGTTGCCTCTCTTCTCGTAAGTGCTCTCAACTATTTTAGTTGGGACACAGAGGACACCAAAATACAGTGGTACCTTGGTTCTCAAATACCTTGGTACTCAAACAACTTGGAACCCAAACACTGCAAACCCGGAAGTAAGTGTTCCGGTTTGCGAACTTTTTTCAGAAGCCGAACGTTCTCCGTTTTGAGTGTTACACTTCCGTTTTGAGTGCCACACTTCCAATTTGAGTGTAACACTGAGGTCTATCTGTTTTTGCTATTTATTTTGCACTTCTGTAGTGCTTTTTTGTTTCGTTTTTGTGACTGTGTGGAACCCAGTTCAGCTGCTGATTGATTGATTGATTGATTGTGTGACTGCAGTACATTGTTTGTTGCTTTCATTTTATGGATCAATGGTCTCGTTAGATAGTAAAATTCATGTTAAATTGCAGTTTTAGGGGTCGTTTTTAAAAGTCTGGAACGGATTAATCCATTTTGCATTACTTTTTATGGGAAAGCGTGCCTTGGTTTTGGAACGCTTTGGTTTTGGAACAGACTTCCGGAACGGATTAAGATAGAGAACCAAGGTACCACTGTACTGTTCAGAGAATGAGAAGCCCTGGACTCTGGGTGTTTTGGAAGATGACAGAACAAAAGGAGGCATTGAGAAAAAGAGAAGGCAGGAGTTGAGGGCAAGGATGTGAAGAGTTTCACAAGCCCTTAGAGAGACATCAACACCATACACTTTAAAGTGGCATAAGAGTGCTTTAAATGTCGTGGCTGTCGTGACTGACCGACCAGTGTCGCTCTGTAAGGGTATTAGGAGTCTCCTGATGTCAGGCTTTGGAGAAACGGCTTCCTCTCTCTCCCCCACCTCCTTTGGCCGTGCGTCAGCAGAACAAAGCAATCATAGAGTCCCTTATCAGTTTAAGAGCATTTAACGATCACAGCAAAAGAACACAGCAGCCATTCTCTGAGTGAAGGTGCTTCCAATTAAGTTCTCCTCCCCCCCCCCCCAACAAGTCATCATCACTTCCCCTTCTGGCAACCTGATCTCGCAACCACTGAGCCTTCTGCGTACCAACTTTATCAGCTCACCTTGCCCGTGGAGAGATAGGCTGGACACTCTCAAACAAAGAGGAGTCAGTTATCTCTCTCTTTCTCTCCCTGTTCTGCTACTTCTAGCTGTTCCCCACTCAGCTCTGCCCAGCTGTTGCTTTCCAAACTATGTCCCTCTACAAACCGATTCTCTAGATCTATACTGCTCCACTGTTCCTGAGCAGCTTCAGGATCCTGATCAGGAGCAGGAAGAGGGGGAGGTTCCCACCATTCCTCATCAGTGCTATAATCCTCAGTCTGGTCTCTGACACCTGACAACGCTCAGCACCCTTCACAAACTTCACCTCCTAGGATTCTTCGGGGGAAGCTGTGACTGTAAAACTGATATGATACTGCTTTAAATTTATAGCGCAAACTATCAAATCAAGAGGGAATCGTCTCTATTAATAGCTAGGAACTAGGCACAAAGTCTGGAAGTTCAGCATACACCTGGGGCAGGGAACCGCAGTGTTATAGTGCTTATTAGAATCACAGAATTGTAGAGCTAGAAGAGAACCCCAAGGGTCATCAAGCCCAACCCCCTGCAACGGAGGATTCTTCGCCCAATGCGGGGCTCAAACCCACAACCCTGAAATTATGAGCCTTGTGCTATAGTGCAGGCATAGGCAAACTCGGCCCTCCAGATGTTTTGAGACTACAATTCCCATCATCCCTGACCGCTGGTCCTGTTGGCTAGAGATGATGGGAGTTGTAGTCCCAAAACATCTGGAGGACCGAGTTTGCCTATGCCTGCTCTAGTGACTGAGCTATCTGGCTTGGTTGTTGGGACTGCAGCTCCCATAAGCCCTAGCCAGCATGGCTAATGGTCAGGAATGATGGGAGTTGTAGTCCAGCAACATCTACAGGGCCACCAGGTTCCCCATCCCTAGCATATATCATGGCCCATCGAGCTTCTCCATGTCACCTGCCACACTGCTGTCAGAAAGGCCCAGGATTGGTTCACTTGACCAGGAGCTGGGAAATCCCTCTCAGTAGTGGAAGAAGCCACATCTGCACATGCCGGTAGGTACCTTTCCAAAGGGCATAATGTACTGCTCAACGTTGGCTTGTTGAATCATCTCAGGGTGTTCGCTGTCGTCTGCCACAATGACCTTCATATTTGGATAATACTGCCGTATGCTCTCAAGGAGGACCCTAAGCTTGTGGTAGCGCAAGAAAGTCTTGGTTGTGATGGTCACCATATTGCTGATGTTGTAATCTGAGGGACAAAGAAAGGGAAGGAAGAGTGAGCCAACACACTCAACAACCCATGTGGGTTTGTTTCCCACGACTGTACTCTAGGAGTCTTGTATTCAGCCTCTCATTCAAGTACAGTGGTACCTCGGGTTACATATGCTTCAGGTTACATATGCTTCAGGTTACAGACGCCGCTAACCCAGAAATAGTACCTCAGGTTAAGAACATTGCTTCAGGATGAGAACAGAAATCGTGCTCCAGCGGCGTGGCCGCAGCTGGAGGCCCCATTAGCTAAAGTGGTGCTTCAGGTTAAGAACAGTTTCAGGTTAAGAACGGACCTCCGGAACAAATTAAGTTCTTAACCCAAGGTACCATTATAGAAACATTTCCTACCACAACCCAGAGTAGGCCTCTTCCTTGAAGGTTCTGTTCCTGAGCCACTGTTTTCACTCTGGGTGCCTGCTTAGGTCACCTTCTGCAGAGTTGAAGTACCTTCTCTTCCCTACCACAGAAGTAGCCCATGTGGTGCCCTCTATCAGCCCAGACCCCCCCAAGTGTCCCTATTTTCCAGGGCCAGTCTGGATTTACAGGAAGCTGCCCTGGTTTCTGATTTGATCCGATCCTGGAATGCCCTGCTTTCCCTTTGGACGCCCCTGTTTTCACCACAGAAACGTTGGAGGGCCTGGAGTTATGCAACTCCCAAGCCAAGGAGATGAGTAACTACACAACATTTTGAAGACATTTGAAGGCAGCCCTGTACAGTGGTGCCCCGCAAGACGAATGCCTCGCAAGACGGAAAAACCGCTAGACGAAAGGGTTTTCCGTTTTGAAGTTGCTTCGCAGGACGAATTCCCCTATGGGCTTGCTTCGCAAGACGAAAATGTCTTGCGAGTCTTGAGTTTTTTTTTCCGCTTTCCCCCCCCTTTATCTAATCTGCTAAGCCTTTAATAGCCTTTAATAGCCTTTTAGCAGCTAATCCCCTAAGCCTTTAAGCCTTTAATAGCCGCTAAACAGCTGATAGCGCTAATAGCGCTAATCCGTCAATGGGCTTGCTTCGCAAGACGAAAAAACCGCTAGACGAAGACTCTTGCGGAACGGATTAATTTTGTCTTGCGAGGCACCACTGTATAGAGAAGTTTTTTAATGTTTTAATATGCTTTTATATATGTTGGGAGCCACTCATAATAATAATTACCCTTATGGAATAGGACATCCCTATTTTCATCGGAGAAACGTTGGAGGGCATGTCAGCCCCAACTAGTGAAGTCAATGGTCAGGGATGATGAGAGCTATAGACCAACATTTGCAAGGCACCACACTGATTACTCCTGCCCCACCATAAAATGTTTGTGTCTGCACTGAGGTGTTCTATTTGATCTTTCTACAAGATGTAATAAATAAAAATAATAACAATAAATTATTTATACCCCGCCCACCTGGCTGGGTTTCCCCAGCCACTCTGGGCGGCTCCCAACAGAATATTAAAACATAATAAAACATCAAACATAAAAACTTCCCTAAACAGTGCTGCCTTCAGATGTCTTCTAAAAGTCAGATAGCTATTTCCTTGACATCTGACGGGAGGGCGTTCCACAGGTCAGGTGCCACTACCAAGAAGGCCCTCTGCTTGGTTCCCTGTAAGTGTAACCTCACTTTTTGCAGGGAGGGAACTGCCAGAAGGCCCTCAGCGCTGGACCTCAGTGTCTGGGCTGAACGATGGGGGTGGAGACGCTCCTTCAGGTATACTGGGCCGACACCATTTAGGGCAGGCACCCCCAACCTTCGCCCCTCCAGATGTTTTGGACTACAATTGCCATCATCCCTGACCACTGGTCCTGTTAGCTAGGGATCATGGGAGTTGTAGGCAAAAATATCTGGAGGGCTGCAGGTTGGGGATGCCTGATTTAGGGCTTTAAAGGTCAGCACCAACACTTTGAATTATTTTATTTTAGTTTAGTTTAGTTTAGTTTATTTATACCCCGCCCTCCCTGGCCAAGACCGGGCTCAGGGCGGCTAACATCAAGTATAAAAACAATTGATTAAAATACAACATAAAAACAGGATTAAAGTACAACTTAAAATGCAGCCTCATTTCAGTGGAAACCCACTGTGCTCAGAATTGTGGTCGGAAACGTACTGGGAGCCAATATAGGTCTTTCAGGACCGGTGTTATATGGTCTTGGTGGCCACGCCCAGTCACCAGTCTAGCTGCAGCATATCTTTATGCTGCACATCTATTTTGTTTTTCTGCCAGAACCCCAAGATCCATCTACAAAGGACATATATTTAGCATTAAGGAATTCTGAGCCCAGGAATTTCTTTTGAGTACCAGAACTGAGCTCACAGTCCTTCCACAGAGAAATCCATTACAGGCTGCAACCACCCCTGCCTCCCGTCATTTCAGCAGTATGATTTGAGGCGGTAGGTGGAAGCATTATTTTGTTGTTGCTGTTCTTCAGGATTAGGTGTCAGAAACCTTTGTTGTTTGGCTTAAAGTCCAGAAACCTACCTTCTACCCACCTCTGGTTAAGAGAGCCAATAAAGGTGTTACGTCATCATGGTTTTGCTATTTGAATGGGCATCAGAAGCTCACCTGGTCCTGGGTCAAACAGCTTAGGAAGGCCCGGCTGTCGGATGGTCACAGGAAACCTCACCTGATGAGTCCCCATGGTAAATGTCACTGGAAAGCAATGGATAGGTCGGTCAGCAGTTGTCCGTTTCTTGGCTTCCATAGTTCAGATGGCACTTGGAACCATACCCCCCCCCCCACTTATAGGAATATGCAAGCCATACTCCAAAAGTGGTGGAATCCACCCTTCTGTTTTAAGTGTCTCTTAGCAGACCATGCCCATGTCTTTTAAAAGATCAGTCTGGATAGCTCAGTTGGCTAAAGCATGGTGCTGATAATGCCAAGGTTGCAGGTTCGATCCTCGTAGGGGAGAGCTGCATATTCCTGCATTGCAGGAAGTTGGACTAGATGATCAGGGTCCCTTCCAACTTTACAGTTCTATAATTCTGTGATTCTAAGGTACAAAACCAGCATGTGAGTAGCGAACGTGGGAGAAGGCTGCCTTCTGAAAAAGAAACACTGGCTGTTTATTTTGACCCTTGATGACGGGGTAAGTGAGCAGTTATATTGGGGAGTAAAGGTAAAGGGACCCCTGAACACTAGGTCCAGTCGTGGCCGACTCTGGGGTTGCGGCACTCATCTCGCTTTATTGGCTGAGGGAGCCGGCATACAGCTTCCGGGTCATGTGGCCAGCATGACTAAGCCGCTTCTGGCAAACCAGAGCAGCACACAGAAACGCCGTTTACCTTCCCGCTGGAGCGGTACCTATTTATCTACTTGCACTTTGAGGTGCTTTCGAACTGATAGGTTGGTAGGAGCAGGGACTGAGCAACGGGAGCTCAACCCCTCGTGGGGATTCAAACCGCCAACCTTCTGATCGGCGTGTCCTAGGCTCTGTGGTTGAACCCACAGCGCCACCCGCGTCCATCTTGCACATAAAGTGCAATAATATAGACGGAAGTCGCGATAAATCACTTCATTCATAAAGACCAAATATCTGCTAGTTTCTGTTCCACATATGTTCATCAAGTCCAAATTGGAGCCTACTACAGTTCCACAGTGTTGACAAGGATTTCCGGAATAATGCCTTGTTTTGCTCTCATGGGCTTCATCAGTGGTACATATTCTAAGTAATATAACTGAATATAATTCTACATATTTTAACAAATTAAAATTAAATAAGATTAAGATTATATAGACTATATAGACACTGTAACAGTTGTTATTCACTGCAGAAACCAGCGTGTTATAAATTCTATTATCTTGATACTTCATATATGGTATGTACTTCTATAGCACAATTGTTTATATAATTTTAATTAGGCTCCAATTTGGACTTTATGAATATATGTGGAACAGAAACTAGCAGATATAAGCTGATTTATTGGGACTTCCGTCTATATTATTGCACTTTATGTGTTGTTTATGTGCAAGATAACATTTAATATTGTGATAAGAATATATAGAAGAGTACTGTTTATGTGAATGCACAGTCGGTTACATCTTGTGGTAACTGCAACCCAGCAGCACCCAAGAAGGTCACAGGTTTCCTACTGATGCTTTCAAAGTCTTATCATAATGTTGTCCTAATCAAGTGGTACTTTATCCTTTGGCAACCATATGCCAACAAGGTTCAAAGTCTTGTCATAATGTTGTCCTAATCAAGTGGTACTTTATCCTTTGGCAACCATATGCCACCAAGGTTACAAGGCAATCATTAACCTCACAATATTATTGGAAGCTTCCTTATACTTATAAGGGACGCGGGTGGCGCTGTGGTTTAAACCACAGCCTCTTCGGCTTGCTGATTGGAAGGTTGGCGGTTCAAATCCTTGCGACGGGGTGAGCTCCTGTTGCTCTGTCCCAGCTCCTGCCAAGCTAGCAGTTCAAAAGCACACCAGTGCAAGTGGATAAATAGGTACCGCTGTGGCGGGAAGGTAAATGGTTTTTCCGTGTGCTCTGGCTTCCATCAGGGTATTCTGTTGCACCAGAAGCAGTTTAGTCATGCTGGCCACACAACCCGGAAAGCTGTCTATGGACAAACGCCAGTTCCCTCGGCCTGAAAGTGAGATGAGTACTGCAACCCCATAGTCACCTTTGACTGGGTTTAACTGTCCAGGGGTCCTTCACCTTACCTTTTTCCTTACATTTGCAAATCTAAGCCTTTTAAAAAATGCCAGGACTTTGAACCTTGGACCATACACACCCAAAGCATGTTCCCTATCACTGAATTATGGTCCACACCCAGTCAATCAAATATTTGTAGAGCTGGAAGGGACCGCAAGGTCATCAACCCCCTGCAATGCAGGAACCTATCATTTTCTCTGCTTTCAGTGCTATTTAGAGGGTGCCTGTTTTAATCAACCATCTCAAATGTCAGTTCTGACTGGGCAGCAATATTCTTCCACAAAACTTTTCCAATCCCCCACCCCCAGGTCTTCAAAACGAGGAGGACAAGCCATTTTCAACATCGCAAAGCATTTTATCAAGAAATAAAGCAAGATCTGAAAAGATAATAATTCGCTGCCTCCTTGTGGCATTCGTTCAAAAGGGAGAATGGCCGGAAAGCTGCTCAAAAGCGTCTTGCAATAATTATAACACGGATTTCAGGCTGGTGAAGTCAAAGGGCAATCAATGCTTGTCCCGCAATAGCAATCCAACTCACCCAGATCCACAACATCGAGTAGATACTCTGTATTTGTGTACGTGATGTGTTCCAGGATGTAATTCAGTAGCTTCACATGGGGAGTAGAGATGGTCAGCTTCTTTTCCCCTCGCCCACCTACCACGTCTTGGGATACATCAGCCAGGGTGTTGAGAGCACCAAATGAAGTTTGTAGGATCACCTGGAGATTTTGGGTCCCAAAAAAAGTCTTAGGAGCAAATAAAACCCCTCCATTTTCATCTAAATCAGGTGATACACAAACGGACATCAGCAGGAAATGGGGGGTAAACAGAAGGTCAGAAATCAGGGGATGTCCAGTTCTGGGTACCACAATTTAAGAAGGATGCTGACAAGCTGTAATGTGCACAGAGGAGGGCGATTGGGAAGATCAAGGGTCCGGAAACCAAGCCTTATGAGGAACAGTTGAAGGAGCTGGGTAGGTTTAGCCTGGAAAAGAGGAGACTGGGAGGAGATACGATAGCCATCTTCTAAGATCTTAAGGGCTGTCACATGGAGGATGGAGCAAGGCCTGTTCTGGAAGGCAGGACTCCCATGGCTTCAAGTTACAAGGAAGGAGGTTCAGACACAACTTCAGAAGACATTTCTGACAGCAAGCTGTTCGACAGTGGGACAGACTCCCTTGGGAAGTTGTGGACTCTAATTCCTTGGAGGTTTGTAAGCAGAGTTTGGATCCTCATGAGAAGAGAAGACTCCCTGGAAAAGACCCTGATGCTGGGAAAGATTGAGGGCACAAGGAGAAGGGGACGACAGGATGAGATGGTTGGACAGTGTTCTCGAAGCTACCAGCATGAGTTTGACCAAACTGCGGGAGGCAGTGGAAGACAGAAGTGCCTGGTGTGCTCTGGTCCATGAGGTCACGAAGAGTCGGACACAACTAAACGACTAAACAACAACATGTCATGGATGATGTAGTTGAGATTCCTGACTTGCAGAATATGGATTATTATTTTGATTGGAATGTAACTGGATTAAATTAGATTTTGGAAGCAGAATTAAAAGAATTTACCAAACCTGTAATTCTAGCACATGTGGGGGGGGGACGGACCAAAATTATACAATTGGAAAGTTGATTACTTGATGTTTGATATTTGATTTGGTATTGTGATTTGATATGGATATAATGAGGCTTATTTTGGATGCTTGTAATTGAATACTAATATATTTTTTTTAAAGATTCCTAAATTGTGGGGGGCGGGTTGGACTAGATGACCCTTGGGATCCCTTCCAACTCCATGATCTATGAGAGCTCTGTGAGTAAGCTTTGTGAGCTGGGTGGTGCGTTTCCATGTGGAGGCATTTTTATTTTGTGTCACCTATTTTGTACTAAGAAAGCCCCATTTCTAAAATGTGAAAAGGAGTTACTGGTACTTGAGAAATATGCCTTAAAAAAAAAAAAGAAGCAGTGGAATAAATAATGTTTTCTTCCTCTGGCAACAAAATGTTTTAGATGGGTCATGGATGCCTGCTTTTCTCAGGGAAACAACATTCAAGACCCAACCAGCTTCCAGAGCCTGGGGAATCTGGACTGCTAGTTTTGTATGTCCCATGCTTGTCACCAGATACAATCTCAACCATGCTATCCATTCCATTGTTATGCATTGATTCTTTCAGCTGCGTTGTCTGATAATTCAGAAAGTGGGAGCATATAATGAAACATAATTAATGAGGACTTCCGGGGTGGCGCCATCGGTAATGGTGGACTCCCTCTGATCCGGAGGGACCAGCTCTACGGGAATCGGGTCTGTTCCGCTGCGGCGAAGCGGGGACCCTTGAAAAATCACAGGCGGGTGAAGCCTGTGACCGTGGGACTCAGCGGGCACCTTTTGCGCCCCCCCCAACTTGCAAAGGAGCCCGATTACGGGTTCCGGCGCGGAGCGGGGAAGCGGCGCGGTGCTGTGAGTCAACTGCTTCTTCCGTGGAGTGAAGCCGCACAGGCATTACCGGAGAGCGCTGCCTTTTTCCTGTGACAATTTGGTTACAAAACAACTATCCGTGAGTAGGCTAAATTGGGAAACAAAGGAACAAAGAAGTAATTTGATACCGAAGCGGAGAGGCATAAACAGGAAGTCTGCCTTCCGTTCTTTGTAAATAGAGTAAAGCAATGAACTTGTAAGCGAAAACCTTGAAAGACGTTTGAAAAAGACTATAATTCTAACATCAAACAAGCGATTTCCCCCCTTGATTGCAGGAGAGGAGGGGGGAAAGGTCTGAACTTTATTTCCCTGCAAAAACAGAGAAAAGGAAGATAAAATCCACCGCTTAAACCTGGGAACGGGTTGCCAGTGAATAATAAGAATGCCGTACTGTGAAATGCGCTGTTGGTGAAAGTACTCTTTGACAGCTAACTCTGCAAGTGAGATACAAGTGAGATACAATATTTCTGGCTGGCTTCTCCTGGTTTTAAAGTAACTGGAAAACAACTGAAATTGAAACTGTCGGTTTTTTTGTGAATTGGGGGATTAAAAGAAAAAAGGTTAATTATTTTAAGGCAACAACTCTTGACTGCTACTGTGTCCCCCTAGAGGAAGTTTGAAATTGTTACAATAACAGCTGGGCCAGGGGAATTTTCCACTTCAAAACAAATTCTGATCGTGGGATTGACCTTGGGCCGTATCTAGAGTGTTATGGCAGATGGAAAGGAGAAAATAGATTTGCTTCAGGAAAAAACAACGAGGTCCGGTAGATCATTTCGTCCAGACGTTGGGCTGCAGCGAAGAGCATCAACGTCTGGTCCTTCTGGACTACCAACAGGAGCCGCATTGGTACAATCTAAACCCAAAGGAATGGCATCTGAAGATGTTTTGGCTCAGGCATTAGGTAAAATTAATGAATCTCTGGAAAGAATAAGTAAACAAGTAGCTGAAGCATCAGTTAAAATTGATCAAAATACCACAAGTACAAACAATTTGGGACAGAAGGTAAATACTAACACAGAAACTATTGAGAAATTACCACAGGAATCTACCTTGACCCGAAAGACAGCTGAAGAAGCAAAAGAAATAGCAACTGCTGTAGAAGAGAAGATACCACTGATACACAAACAACTTGAAGACCACAGGTCAATATTGTCTATGATTGAATTGAAGGAGAAGCAAACGAATTTGAGGATCAGGGCCGTACCTGAACTTGAGAAAGACAATCTGACTGACTTTCTTACGCAGGAATTTGCAGACTTTTGGAACCCAGATTTGGAGAAGGAAAACTTTAAGATAGTGAGTGCTTTTAGGCTTGGAAGAGGAGGGAAGAAGAACAGGGTGAGAGACTGTTTGATTACCCTCAGAACAAAAGAGGAGAGAGATAAAATCTTGAGTCTGCACTTCCAGAAGACTTTGGAAATACATCAGTCAAAAGTGGAGATATTTAAGGACATTCCGAAATATCTTTTGGACCTTAGGTCCAATTATAGAGATTTGGTTGCCCTGCTGAGAAGCAACGGAATTATCTTTAGGTGGGAATTCCCCCAAGGCCTATCCTTCAGTTACAAAGGGAGAAAGATAAAAATAAGATCAGAGGACGACAAAGAAAGATTTTTGAGAGACCACGGAGAAGACCTGCAGAAAGAAGCTGGAGAAGAGTTAAGAGCACTAGAAAGAGGAATTTTAGACATACCAAGATTACCTCCTGAATTAAAAGACTGCCTGGAGAAGGTGATACCACCGACAGAACAGGAACAGGCACTTGGTGCAGTTGGAGGAGAAGTAAAGTAACTACATCATGGCTCTGCAACTATTAAGTTGGAATTGTAATGGTCTCAACTCCCCTCAGAAAAGGAAAACTGTGTTTCATTTATTAAAAAAGGAACAATTGGACTTGATTTGTTTACAGGAAACACATGTAACAAGGCTACACAGGAAAGTATTGATCAACAAAAGACTGGGCCAGGAGTTTATTTCTTCGGACAAGGTTAAAAAAAGAGGGGTAGTGATTTATGCAAAGGAGAGACTATTACCGAAATTTATCTTCAAAGATGACCAAGGAAGATTTGTGGCAATTGAAATTCAAACACAAGGAGAGAAATTTTTGATAGTAGGAGTTTATGCACCAAATGAGGGGAAATCTGAATTCTTTAAAAAGTTGCATGAGACCTTGATGGACTATGTGGATTATAATGTGATTTTGATGGGAGACATGAACGGAGTGGTATCTACGCATATGGACAAGGCACAAAGACAGGTAGTCACTAAGGACGGCAGACTACCGAAAACCTTTTTTGAGATGACAGACAACTTGGACCTAGTTGATATCTGGAGAACAAAGAATCCCTTGGCTAGAGAGGGAACCTTCTTCTCTGGAGCCAAACTGACATGGACAAGAATTGACCAAATATGGGTAACTAGAGGAATGGCACCAAAGACAAGAAAAGTGGAAATCTGCCCAAAAACCTGCTCCGACCATAATGCTGTGAAGATGGAGATGAAACCAATACCAACTGGTTCCTTCAGATGGAGGATGAATGACACCTTATTCAGAGATGAAGAAGTGTTTAAGAAGGCCCAAAAAACCTTGAGAGATTATTTTGAGATAAATATGAATACCAATGTGGAAAAAAGAGTAATCTGGGACGCAAGCAAAGCTGTTATGAGAGGGTTCTTGATACAACAGAACGCATTAAAGAAGAGAATCCAAAATGAGAAGAAGGATAAAATATTGGAGAAAATAAAAGAAACTGAAAAGAAATTGAGAGCAAAACCAAAGTCGCAAGAGATTTTGAGAAAATTAAAATTACATCAAGTACAATATATGAAAATGATGAATAAGGAGATAGAATGGAAAATCAAACAAATGAGACAAAAGACATTTGAGTCGGCTAATAAATGTGGGAAATTGTTGGCTTGGCAAATGAAAAAAGGACAAAAATTAAATACGGTTACAAATTTAGAAGTGGAAGGAAGGAACATACAGAACCCAGCTGAGATTAGAAACTGTTTCCAGAGGTACTTTAAACAACTATATACACAAGGACCACAGAAAGAAATTGATTTAGATCGATTTTTGAAAACAAATGGATTACAAAAAATCTCTCAGGAAAATAAATTAATGCTGAACTATAAAATAACTGAACAGGAGGTAGAAGGTGCCATTCAGAATATGCAACTAGGTAAATCTCCAGGACCGGATGGACTGACTTCTAAATACTACAGATCCTGAAAAGAATGGTTAGTACAACCTTTGAGGGAAGTCTGTAATGAAATTATGGGTGGGAAAAGGGCACCAGAGTCGTGGAAAGAAGCGTATATTACACTTGTACCGAAAACAGAGACTGAAAAGACGCAGCTAAAGAACTACCGCCCCATATCATTGCTCAATGTGGATTACAAAATCTTTGCAGACATTTTGGCTAAAAGACTAAAAAAAGTGTTAATGGAAGAGATTCATAAAGACCAAGCTGGCTTTCTCCCAGGTAGACATTTGTCGGATAATGTGAGAAATATAATTAATATTTTAGAAAAATTACAAGTGAACATAAATACTAAGGCAGTTTTGATATTTGTGGACGCGGAGAAAGCTTTTGACAACATTTCTTGGAGTTTTATGAAGAAGAACCTACAGGGGATGGGGGTAGGCCAAGGCTTTGAAAACGGTATAAGTGCAATTTATTCAGAACAAAAGGCTAAATTAATTGTAAATAACGTGGTGACGGAAGAATTTAAGATAGAAAAAGGGACACGACAAGGTTGCCCAATCTCCCCATTGCTTTTTATATCGGTCCTGGAGGTCCTGCTGAATATGATTAGAAGGGACCAATTGGTTAAAGGGGTATAAGTCGGAGTACAAGTTAAGAGCATTTGCAGATGACTTAGTATTGACGTTACAGGAGCCAGAATCTAGTACTAAAAGGGTTTTGGAACTGATTCAAGAATTCGGTCAGGCTGCAGGATTCAAACTGAATAAGTTAAAAACTAAGGTCTTAGAGAAAAATTTAACATCGATTGAGAGAGAGAGGTTTCAGAATGAGACAGGTTTAACAGTGGTTAAGAAAGTGAAATACCTGGGGATTAACATGACAGCAAAAAATGGGAATCTATTCAAAGACAATTATGAAAAATGCTGGGCTGAAGTGAAAAAAGACTTAGAAATTTGGTCAAATTTGAAGCTTTCACTGCTAGGCCGTATTGCTGCAATAAAAATGAATGTATTACCTAGATTGTTGTTTCTGTTTCAAACACTGCAAATTTTGGACAAAATGGACTGTTTCAAGAAGTGGCAGAGAGATATCTCTAGATTTGTCTGGCAGGGCAAGAAGCCTAGAATAAAATTTAAAATACTAACGGATGCAAAGGAAAGAGGTGGATTTGCCCTGCCAGACCTTAAACTTTATTATGAATCAGCAGCTTTTTGCTGGTTGAAAGAATGGCTGCTTCTTGAAAACACAGACATTTTGGATTTAGAAGGTTTTAATAATGTATTTGGATGGCATGCATATTTGTGGTATGATAAGGTCAAAGCACATAAAGCATTTAAAAACCATATTGTCAGGAAAGCATTGTTTAATGTCTGGACATCAGAATTTGGTCAAGTTGCAGGATTTAAGTTGGACATAACATAATGATGGCTGACTGGGAACAGTTATGGACCACAGGTATGAAGTTTATGGCATGTAATGCCTTAAGAGAGAATATTATGAAAATGATATACAGGTGGTACATGACACCAGTCAAGCTTGCAAAAATTTATCATTTGCCCGATAATAAATGTTGGAAATGTAAAGAGACTGAAGGTACATTCTTTCACCTTTGGTGGACGTGCCCAAGGATTAAGGCTTTCTGGGAGATGATTTATAATGAAATGAAAAGGGTATTTAAATATACCTTTCTGAAGAAACCAGAGGCCTTTCTCCTGGGCATGGTCGGCCAAATGGTGCCAAAGAAGGACAGAACTTTCTTTATGTATGCCACAACAGCAGCAAGAATACTTATTGCAAAGTATTGGAAGACACAAGATCTACCCACTCTGGAAGAATGGCAGATGAAGGTGATGGACTACATGGAATTGGCGGAAATGACTGGCAGAATCTGAGACCAGGGAGAAGAGTCGGTGGAAGAAGATTGGAAGAAATTTAAAGATTATTTACAGAAATATTGCAAAATTAATGAATGTTAGAATGATGTCAGAATGAAGTTAAGTGGTTTAAGCAGCAATGTTATAAAGGTGTATGTAAAAATGGATTATTAACAGGTGAGAATCCAAAGTTATAATATATTAAGTTAAAGGATTAAGATAAAAACAAAGAGGGAAAGAAATTGCTGAATTAACTAACTGAATTGGAATACAAAAAAGGGAGGTGTGAGGAGGTCAGGGAAGCAAGGAAATGAATGTAAGGTGGAAAGATTGATGTGTTTTTTATCTTTTTTTGTATTTTGTATTTTTCTTTTATTCTTATTTCTGTTTTATTTTATTTTCTTTTTATCTATGTAATTTTTTTCTTTGAAACCTTAATAAATATCATTTAAAATATATATATATAATGAAACATAATTAATGAAAACACAGGGGGCCACTAGGGGGCGCATCAGAAGATGGCTGACAATAACATCTCTCCAACCCACACGGGGTATTTTGGAGGCTATGATGGGAGTAATTAGCCTCCCTACCCCCCCAGGATGGTGGGGGGGACTGCCCTTGCCTGCTGTGCCCTATACCACCCCCGAATTTGTGGGGATGGGGGCACTAGGCACAAAGCCCTCCTGTGGGATTTCGGCGCTCCTGGACGCCATCTCTGATTCGTGCCACTAGCTGCAAGAACTTCAAAAGAAACAATTTGGATGAAGGAATGCACATATTTCGAGGAAGGAGGGGGAGCAAAGATTGCTAACAGAAGAGATCTCTGATAAATCAAGACGAGTCGGAGGAACAAGCATAGATTATGAGAAGATACGCCAAGACTCGGTATGGCAAAGGGGCTGATGGGGGAGGGGAAAAAACTTTCCTTTCTTTCTTTTATGTGATTAAACAAGAATCCCCCCCCCCACAAGTCAGGAATGTCGATTTAAGGACTTAAGCTGTGGATTTAACGCTGTGTGGAGATAAACTTTCAAACCAAAGCATGTTTTAAGAAGAGTGTGGAATGTATAAGGGCTTTGGAATGACGCAGTTAAAAATATCGTTGCCATATTGGGAAGTTCTGTCGGAGGACTTAAGTCTGAGAGGAGAAATAGAGAAATAGAGCTGTTTTTATATTGTGGATGAAACTCCTCAGAGGGACTTAAGATCGACAGTTCTGTAATGAATGATGGAAAGAGCAATGTTATCTATGAAGGCGATGTTATATGGAAACCATCTCGATTTAAGGATTGGAAGAACGGAAAATTCACACAGGATTATTATTGGTGTTTATCGGCTTAAGGAGACTATCAGAAGAGATCATAAAGGAAAAAGAGAAAATATATGAACAAGATGTGATGTGGAAACAGCAAGATAAGACTGGATAGAATTATGAACTCTGTTTGGACTGATTTGGACTGATTTGGACATTAATGCAGTAGCAAGAAGATGATCAGAATCCCCCTTCGGATCTTGAAAGATGGGTCCCCTCAACAAAATTTAAAATTCGGCTTTGTAATTCGGAATTTATGTGATGTGATTTAATTTGATTTGATTGGCCGGTTAATAAAAATCATTTCAAAAAAAAAATAAAAAATTAATGAAAACACAAAGTTACCTGGAGGTTTTCTGTACTTGCTCCATGGAAACCAAGCCCTTTAAGAACAAAAGCAAGCACAGGTCTGGCATTAACACTCTTCCAATTTTTCGTCCCCCACACCCCAACAAGTCCAGCAAAGCTTGATTTACGGAGTTGGCTGCAATACTCTCCCAAGAAAGAAACAATTGAGCCCAAACCAGCATGCTAAGAAGACAAAAAGCTATAAGCACTCTTAAGGAAAGTGGCCACTGTGTCCAAAAGTTTGAAAGGAAATAAAATTGTTTCAGTTTGTGAACACTAGCATTTCTGTGACCTTTGAACTGCTTGTCTAATTTTTCACTCTCTTGCCTCAGTTTGCCAATCACAGGCTCCTTAGATGCCAAGAGGACCTAAAACCGAACACCAGACAGAGGGCTTTGTGTGACATGTTTGCTTGTTCAGTATTAAAGAACTGTTTGTTCTGTATTAAGGAACACAGACACACATGGTATGGGTGCCCTGTCTGTGGTCTCCTTGATACCAAGTGAAATGTCAACTAGTCAACTTAGAATTTCTGCAGTACAGAACCAGCTAAAGCCTTAGGTCAGGGGTTGGCTAACTACGGTCCGCAGGCCAGATCCGGGCCAATTGCCCTCCGGATCTGGCCCACGGACGTTCCGTGGATTGGCGATTCTGTTTGTTAATTTTTTTATCGTTATTTTCCCCCCGGAAGTGCCATTTTTCCCTTCCCAAAAAAAAGTTTGCTGACCCCTGCCTTAGGTCAATAACCTTTATTAACTGTTTAATGTTTCCAAATGTCATTCAGCTACGTCTGTCAACATACCTGGAATTACCATGGTGTGCAAAGGCATCACCTCAGCTCCTTGAATCGGATAGCTTAAAGGAGTGTTTGGCTGAGCAATAAGGACATCTTTTGTCTCGAGGGGATACCTAGGTCAAAGCAAAGAGACAGGACTTGAGTCTTCAGAAGCCATGTTGCGAGTGTGGGAATCACAGGTAAGGAAACTTTTTCTTTAAAAAGTAAAATAAAAAATAGCCCACCTGCCCAAAATACACACTTTGAGCAGAGCAACTGGCCCCGTTTTCTCTGGGATACTTAACTTGCAGGCTTGAACAACATCACAATACAGCGACTAGGTCCAACTATAGATCATAACAAAGGCTGCATAGAAACTGACAACTTTAAACACAGCCAGGCCATTCTTTTTCTCAAGTAGGATTGAAGGCGATTTGTGGGAAAATGCGACAGAACACAGTATTTCACAAGGCAAGGCAAGTTACATATTTATTGTGCTTAGCGACATGCATGCACCACTTTCCAAATTAGAGGTGGGAATGTGTGAGATATGGAATATATGCAAATGTGTAAACAGCCGCAAAGAGTTATTTCCCCCCCACAGAATTCTCCTCAGGCATAGTGGTTTGACAAAAAATCCCTCTGGGAATTGTAGCTCTGTGAGGGGAACAGGGGTCTCCTGACTACTCTCAGCAGCCTTAATGAACTACAGCTCTCAGAATTGGGGGGTGGGGGGAGGGAGAGCCATAACTGTTAATGTGGCATAATCGGCAAGGGACTTTGAGGTGCTTTTGAACTGCTAGGTTGGCAGGAGCAGGGACCGAGCAACGGGAGCTCACCCCGTCGTGGGGATTCGAACCGCCGACCTTCTGATTGGCAAGTCCTAGGCTCTGTGGTTTAACCCACAGCACCACCCATGTCCCTCTGTTTTTCCTATTTTCATCGAAAAAATGTTGGAAGGTATGGAGTTATGCAACCCTCGAGTCAATGAGATAAGTAACTAGACAACCTTTAGAAGACATCTGAACGGAGCCCTGCATAGGGTATGTTCAACTTTGTTTAATGTCTTATTGTGTTTTTATACATGTTGGAAGCTGCCCAGAGCAGCTGGAGCAACCCAGTCAGATGGGTGGGGAATAATAATAGTAAAATAGTAATAGTAAAAGGACGTCCCTGTTTTCATTGCAGGGTATGATTAGTGCTTGAAATATATATTGTGAATGTGGCCCATGTTCCAGCTAATACAACATGCTGTTCTCACAACGTCTCTCTGGGAATCCTATAACCAGCACAAGAGCACCCACAGTCCCTCATGACTAACACACCTTTGCCTCAGGAGTTGTCAGCCACATTTTCCACAAGAGAGACTCAGTACTTCAGGCCTGGAAGGATAAACCTTCGCCACCTATTACACAATGGACTGAAGAACTAAATGCCCTTGCTACATGTGAACATATTATGATGGGTTTGCGTGTGCCTTGACTCACCCAACGGCTAAATTCCTCTCTCTAATGGTGCTGGATCTAGTGGGTGTTAACCAATGCTTGGAGTATTAAGACAGGCTGCCAGGTGCTGAATTTAACAGTGTCAAAACACAGGCCAGGTTTCCTGCCCCCTACCAGGAAATTGCTTGGGAGAAAATGGGCCATTAGAAGGGACCAAAGACAGGCAGCAGAGCCATGAGCCAAGATGGCAAAGGGGTGCGGCCCCTCCTCCCTGAACTCTGTGTTATTTAGCAGAGACAAAGGTGAGTAGCAGTCGTAGTAGAGGTTTAAGATTACAGTTTCTCTGTAATGTGAAATGGTGCATTTTGGTAAACGCAGCAAGCTGAAGAGGGGGGGCAGCAGTTGGAATTCAAGGCTGCAGGAATGGGAGAAACGGAACCCTCCTGGGGTGTAACGCTGTAAGCTCCTCCATTATAGGCTCAGGTTGTATATGTGTGTAAATAAACCATATATACTAAAGACACCCCGGTCTCCGCTGTGCCTCATTTCCAAAGGAAACATGAACCCTGAGTGAGCGCCCAGACTCTTGGAATGCCGCTCTGCTGTGGGGATTGGTGTTTATAGAAAGCATTGTTACAAGCCACCTCAATTTCATTTGGCTACCTACAAGGACATTTGGATGGCGTATATCAGTTTGTATGTGTAACGTAAGATGGACGTAGAGATGCTAATTGTATTTGTTATTGCAAACCAGTGGGTTTTTCCTCTCCCTGTTTCCCCCTTCTCCTGCTTTCTCTTTCTGTTCGTTTTTTAGTCGCTTAGTCATGTCCGATTCTTCGTGACCCCATGGACCAGAGCACGCCAGGCACTTCTGTCTTCCACTGCCTCCCGCAGTTTGGTCAAACTCATGCTAGCAGCTTTGAGAACACTGTCCAACCATCTCGTCCTCTGTCGTCCCCTTCTCCTTCTGCCCTCAATCTTTCCCAACATCAGGGTCTTTTCCAGGGAGTCTTCTCTTCTCATGAGATGGCCAAAGTACTGGAGCCTCAGCTTCACGATCTGTCCTTCCAGTGAGCACTCAGGGCTGATTTCCTTCAGAATGGAGAGGTTTGATCTTCTTGCAATCCATGGGACTCTCAAGAGTCTCCTCCGGCACCATAATTCAAAGGCATCAATTCTTCGGCGATCAGCCTTCTTTATGGTCCAGCTCTCACTTCCATCCATCACTACTGGGAAAACCATAGCTTTTACTATACTCTTTTATATATCTCTTTCTTTATAAATTTGCAAAAAAAAGTTCATTAATTTTGAAAAATGAAAAGGGGTGCGTAAATAAGGAGAACTAAGCCAAATCTTCTCCATTATCTCAGTTCCCTCAAGCATGTCTCAACGTTGGTTGGGGATGATGGAAGTTTGCATCCAAAAGCATGAGAAATTAACTTTCAGTACTACTAACTTTTAGAACTGAATGTCATCAGATGCTATGATAGCCGCTGGATTTTGATTTGGGTACACACATTTGTAAAAGAGCATTCGTTTCAAGGAAGAGTGCAAATGAATTACGTTGATTTCAAGAGGCTTTTAACTGTGGTCCAGGTTTTATTTTGAGATGCTGTTGCTGCTGGGGAAAGTGGCATTTATATGGGAGACCAAGTTAACTATAACTTCAAGGAACTGAAGCTTTTGGGAAAGTACTGCATGGTCCTCTAATAATCTGATGTAGAGACAACAACATTTTTTTTGCCTAATCCAGATATGGGGAACCTGTAACACTCCAGATGTGATTGCCTCCATCCCAGAACATCAACCATGCCAGCTGGGGCTGATGGGAGCTAGAGTACAATAACATATTTCAGCAGGGAGGCGGGTGAACACAGGTTCCCCATCCCTGGTCGAATCCATGAAGATAACCCTTATGACCCACCACAACCCTTGCAGTTATGTTGTAAAGTTCTTGAAAATGCAGTTCTGGTTCACGTGGGTAAGTTAACATTACCTTCGCTGATAATCCACAAATTCCTTCTCGCGCCTTTCTGTGACAGCAGCAAGCTTATCCTTATCAATATAGTTCCCCAACTGATAGACTGTCAGCTTTTTGGCTCCGACACACTCGCAGCGGTTTTTTGGTCCTAGCCTGTTTTGGACAGGGTGGAGAGAGGCAAGCAGGAGAGAACGGAGAAAAATAATAAAAGTTATGGGCTATTAATATAAAATAAAGTTACTTTTTGTGAATAGCTGCACAACATCTTACATTGTAAGGAGACCCAACCGTGCTTGAAATCGTATAAAATAAAAGGAATTGTCCACAAAGTATAAAACTTAGAGAGAATTTAAGAAAAATGTTCTTATATTAAATACATATTTGTATGTTCCAGAAATGCTACAAGAACAGTTTGCAACAACAACAACAAAAAAGAACACACAGTTCTTTGGCAGGGAACACTGAAACTATTGGCCATTATTATAATTTCTCCAATGGCAACTCTCCGTGTAGAAAGATAGATGGAGAATTTTCTTTTATGATTATCTTATGGAAGTCCACCAAAATCCCACCAAAATTGGTTGCACATGGCCATCACATTTGTTCAGAAAATTAGGCCAAGTGGCAGGATCGCTGTAGTTCAAATTACAAGTTCTTTTATAAAAAATATACGCAAAAATATGTTGAAGCGGTTTGCTTGCCAGGGCGCAGTCCCACCCACCCTCTGGAAGCCAAACCTCGGATCAAGGAAATCACATGACAATATATTTGGGATTAAAATGGCCACAACTTTATTAAAATTTCAGACGCAGGAAACCTTGGCCTAGGCATTGGGTGTGTATTCCTCTCAGCCCCTCGCTGTGTTCTCTCTGTTGGGGGTCTGAGGCAAGACAGGGTCAGTTGGGAACATGGGGACACTGCAAAATGTGCATTTACACAGCTAGCCCACCTTCCGCGTTGCTGAAGTAAATTCTATGGCCCAGTGCTATGCATTTGTGGTCAGAGACTCCCCTCAAGATCCCTTTAACGGGGAACCCCGATATCGCCTCTGCAAAAGGAGAAAGTCACCACACCACCCCTTCAATTGTTGGACTAAAGGTTTCCACCCAAGGCCTAAAACCGCCAGAGTTGTGACAATTGCTACGGGGAAGGCAAAACCTGCAGAGCAGGAAAAATTCCTTCCCCGTTCTGAAAAAAACAGCAACCGAATGTAGCAACACCCATGTACCCGGAAAGGAGAAAGGTTAGCCTGTAAGAAAGGGTACAATTAGAGGGAGGGCCTAGTGGGTGATGATGCTCAAGGGTTGACTGCGCCACTGGAGTCGGTTCCGGCCCCCTTTTAAATCTTTGGAGTGGACTATTGAGAAGCCTGCTCAATCACAGACTGCTCCTCTGCCCCTCCCCACCAGCCACTGCGGATTGGTCAATTTGAAATTGGGTTTTGGCGGAAACCCAGAAGGGACCGCGATGGCCAAGGGGGGCGTAGCAAAGCGGCAGGGCTTCGGGAGGACGGTGGGGCCATGCGCTGGGCCACAAACCTCGTCCACCATCTGGTGAGCATTACAGCAATAAAAACACAAAACCGTGCAATAAAAACCATTAAAAGGTGAAAACAGATTTCAAGTAGCCGTTGCAGAAGGTGCAGTCTTTATTGCCTGGAGGAACAGAGGTTTTCAGCAGGCAATTAAAAGTTGGCACAGAAAGTTCTTCCTGAATTTATTGGCAGAGTATCGCACAGGATTGGGCTGAATACACTAAAGCAGGGGTCAGCAACCTTTTTCAGCAGGGGGCTGGTCCACAATCCCTCAGACCATGTGGTGGGCCAGACTATATATTTTTTGGGGGGGAGGGGGAATGAACGAATTCCTATGCCCCACAAATAACCCAGAGATGCATTTTAAATAAAAGCACACATTCTACTCATGTAAAAACACCAGGCAGACCCCACAAATAACACAGAGATGCATTTTAAATAAAAGCACACATTCTACTCGTAAAAACACCAGGCAGGCCCCACAAATAACCCAGAGATGCATTTTAAATAAAAGGACACATTCTACTCATGTAAAAACATGCTGAATCCTGGACCGTCCATGGGCCAGATTGAGAAGGCGATTGGGCCGCACCCGGCCCCTGGGCCTTAGGTTGCCTACCCCTGCACTAAAGGCTCATTTTCTTGCTGTTGTCAAATGAGCCTCACTGATGACATTTCTGCCAGTGATCTCTGTGATCAAGCTGGGATATAAGAGCTCAGGCAACCTCTGACACACCCTGGCATTATAGCATTTTCAGATGCGTAGAGTTTCAATTCTTGATCCTGAAGAACTTAATTTGGTTTGTATTCTAGGGCCAAGTTACTTTCTGAAAACTGTTCAACTTCTGAGGCAGTATGCAAAACTGTCATTTCAGTTTCAGTCTCAGTTTGATTTTGGAACTACTTTTGCTTAATTGTAGCTGGAGACACTTTAAAAAAAGCACTGTCTTGTTCAGATTTTGCCTTTTTCTTTCCAACCCTTTTGTTTCTGATACTGGGCACCAGACATCCCCATTCCCCATCTGGTATGATGTATTTAATTGTAATAAACTGAATGAAGTACAAATAAATAAAGCAAACTCAGAATAGAACTGAAAACTCTGGTTTCCAAACCAGCTTTGAGTGTATACAAAAATACACGAACAATATTTACGAATTCCCAATCACAACAAGAACAGCACAGGAGTCGCTATTCCTTGAATGAATGTGTAATCAGATTTTGGCATAAATTCTGGATTTGTTCCAAATCTATTAAATATCTAGGTATGTTAATACCAAGAGATATAACACAGTCACAGGTAATATAAATTAATAAAAGAGGTTTCTTCAGATTGTTTCTTCAGGTTGTTTTCTGCTGCTCCAGAGAAGCGGACACGGAGCAATGGATCCAAACTACAAGAAAGAAGATTCCACCTAAACATTAGGAAGAACTTCCTGACAGTAAGAGCTGTTCGACAGTGGAATTTGCTGCCAAGGAGTGTGGTGGAGTCTCCTTCTTTGGAGGTCTTTAAGCAGAGGCTTGACAACCATATGTCAGGAGTGCTCTGGTGGTGTTTCCTGCTTGGCAGGGGGTTGGACTCGATGGCCCTTGTGGTCTCTTCCAACTCTATGATTCTATGATTCTATTCTATGATTCTATGATTCAGATATTGATAGGTGGGAGTCATTGAACTTTACCCTTTGGGCAAGGGTGAATGCATGAGTATTATTCCCAGATTTATTTATATTCTGAAATGACTTCCAGTTTTTATATCCGGATCATATTTCCAAAAGATAAAGTGCCTGTTTAGGAAATGTCTTTGGGGCTCAACAACACCAAGAATATCCCTGCAGAGAATGCAGTAACAAATTCAAGAATTTGGAACTACACCACTATACCAAGTATTAAATATTGGAAACCCATTGCTGGTCTTAATTTTTTGACATGGACAACGCTAGAATATACCTTTAGTTGGTTGGACAATACTAGGATCAAAATATTTGAAATCCCAGGCGACTCTGGAAACGACGAACTCAGTTAGAAAGATATGGAATATACTGTCTATATGACAACACTCGCAACTTATGAACAGACTTATGCTTACAGACGCAGGCTTTGGATAAATACGACAACATTTGGAATGAGTTTATACAGAGTGTAGTAGACTATTATTATCTACATAGGTACTAGGATAATAACATCATATATATTTATATAAGAATGTATGGGTGTACATTACATTGCGTTTTTGCATATTGTTCCTTTCCACACATTTTTGTACTTTTTTCTTTCCTTATTTTTCTCCCTCTGCCCCCCACCCCGGTATCACTTTATATCTTCATAATTGACATTATTTCAATAAAATATTAATACCAAAACAAGAGCATAGGAGTCACTTAGATCCAAATGCTTCTATGATAGCCGATATAAAAATCCTAACGTGCCAGGGAGCAACCAGCAAAGTGAGCTTATCGGATGCATATTCATCACCAGAAACTATTGCCTCACCAGGAAGTCAATGACAAATTTATGACACTGCTGCGATTTTGGGGGCAGGGCTGTGTTTGGTCTGCATGATGCCAACGTCCTTTCCAATTCCTGGGGTCCCGGATATTGCAATGGTTAAAATTGAATGGAGGATTCCATTGCTCAACCAGTCAAGCAAGTTTCTTCGGAAGCTTGTGAAGTGTCCCTCCTTCCCCTGACTGGAAGTGAGAAGGACAAAAGCCAGCGGCCGCGTGAGCCGAAAGCAAGCTAGGAGTTGGGAGGCAGAAGCTGAGAGTCAGAGCTGTGTTTTGACTTAATAAAGTTTGAAAATACAGTGGTACCTCGGGTTACATACTCTTCAGGTTACATAAGCTTCAGGTTACAGACTCCACTAACCCAGAAATAGTACCTTGGGTTAAGAACTTTGCTTCAGGATGAGAACAGAAATCGTGCTCCGGTGGCGCGGCAGCAGTGGGAGGCCCCATTAGCTAAAGTGGTGCTTAAGGTTAAGAACAGTTTCAGGTTAAGAATGGACCTCTGGAACGAATGAAGTACTTAACATGAGGTACCACTGTAATAAAACAAGCTGACAGTCACCGTACACCAAGGAGGAAGAGGAAGGCCTGCAGTGCTTGTGATGGGCTGAAAACTTGCTTTAAAGGAATAAATTGTTAACTGTGCTGTAGAAGTGTAACAGCTTATTCCTTTGAAGCAAGTCTGAAGCAAGTAGTAGTAGTAGTAGTAGTAGTAGTAGTAATAATAATAATAATAATAATAATAATAATAATAATTTATTTATATCCCGCCCATTTGGCTGGGTTTCCCTAGCCACTCTGGGGGGCTCCCAACAGAATATTAAAAACATGATAAAACTTCAAACATTAAAAACTTCCCTAAACAGATGTCTTCAGATGTCTTCTAAAAGTCAGATAGTTGTTTATTTCCTTGACATCTGATGGAGGGCGTTCCACAGGGTGGGCACCACTACTGAGAGGGCCCTCTGCCTGGTTCCCTGCAACCTCACTTCTCACAGGGAGGGAACCGCCAGAAGGCCCTCGGAGCTGGACCTCAGTGTGTGGGCTGAACGATGGGGGTGGAGACGCTCCTTCGGGTATACTATACAGTGGACCCTCTGGTTACAAATGTAATTCGTTTTGGGGGTCCGTGTGTATTACGTATTGAAGTTCTCACCCTGGCCACCAGGAGTATTGTGTATATAGTTTTCACTCAGGTCCAAGTAAGTTAATTTAGGCGGGAAACTCTGGCTTGTTGTTGTTACAATGTTGACAGTCGGCTGCCTATAAAAGCAGGCCGGCTGAGCTGTTTGCTGTTCAGTTCAGTTCCAGCTTACTTATAAAGAACTACTTGGAGATATCTCTGTGTCGTCTGCTATGTCAGTGTTCCCCAACCTTGGGCCTCCAGCCGTTTTTGGACTACAACTCCCATCATCCTTGACCACTGGTCTTGCTAGCGAGGGATGATGGGAGTTGTAGTCCAAAAACAGCTGGAGGCCCAAGGTTGGGGAACACTGTGCTATGTCAACCCACAACTTAAACCCCACCCCGAAAAATCTGTCACCAGAAGTGCCGCTTCCGCGCATGCGCGAGTGTCAAAACCCAGAAGAATACACTTCTGGGTTTGCCACTTTCGCAACCCGAAAATTACGTATACAGAGCAGTACGTAACCCGAGGGTCCACTGTATTAAACAAACAAGCTGACTGTCACTGTACACCAAAAGGAAGGCCTGAATGAAGCACTTGTGATGGGCTGAAAACTTGCTTCAAAGGAATAAGTTGTTAACTCTACTGTAGAAGTGTAACAGCTTATTCCTTTGAAGCAAGTTTGAAGCAAGTGCTCCTCCTTTCCAGTAAATCAGTGTTTCTGAAGCTTTCTGATGTGGTGGACCAGCAAACCCCACCTCCCTCCAACTGCAGGGTCTGGTACCCTTAAGCATACCATCTAACCTGGATTGTGGTAAAATAACCAGGGACCAGCAGCTGATGTCGCTGCCCACAGACCACCATTCTGAGTAGCAACTGCAGCATCAGAAACAGTTTGGTCCTGCTGGCCACACAACCCGGAAAGCTGTCTGTGGACAAATGCCGGCTCCCTTGGCCTGAAAGCGAGATGAGCATCGCAACCCCATAGTCACCTTTGACTGGACTTAACCATCCAGGGGTCCTTTACCTTTTTAACGTAGTAAATATAACAGTTTCATCCACGGTTGGTGCCTATGATATAGAACTCAGAGGGTTGCAGTACCAACCTTTGAGGGGTACAGTTTTATACCGATTAGTTTTTGTTATATTTCATACGTTTCTGTTACTTTACTTCATATTTTGAAGAATATCATAATTTTAAAAGTAATCCACAATTAGAATTCTTTTTATGTATGTAGTTTTTGTCATATTTTATAAATTTCTGATGAAATTCTCCCAAATATAAAAAGTAAAATATAATTTTTGAAGTGATTAATAATTAGAATCGTCTTTTTCTGCATATATGAAATAGACCGTAGAGTTGATTGTTGGTTATGCAATGTATACGTTAAAAGTGAAAATGCACCTAATTTTAAATCTTAGTCACATCTTAATCTTATTTTTAAAAATGTATTCATTTCTCTAGTGAGCTGTGGCCGATAAAGAGAGAAACCATCACAATTCATAAGATTATTCAAAATTATCTCTGTGCTAAAATATTTCCTTTTGCATTTGAGAAATATAATGAAAGATTGTTGCATTACTTATTCTTGCAATTCAAAATAAATTTAGCAGTTTTAAGTTTTGTGCTTTTCTTTTCTTTTCTTTTCTTTTCTTTTCTTTTTTTAACAAGACACCTGATTTGAAAACTGAAGTTAGCAGGGGGGGAAACTGAGCAGGGGTCACAAGTAGTTAGACTTGGGTGGAGAATAGCCTAGCATCAACATTGGCTTAATCACACAGTAAAAAGCAACATTTAAACTGAAAGATTTGGGATTCCAAAGTGAGGGAGAGTTGGATTTCCCTGGTCTCATGCCTTAAAAAAGAAAGAAAAAAACTTTAAAAATAAGAAATTGCGTTTGCAGAGCTTACCAAATTCCATCAAACAAGAACATGGACTTGTATTTTTCTTCTGGCAAAAGCTTCAAGGACAATGGAGTTTCATCCCACCCCAGTTTGATATCAGTTAGCCGCCCTTTCATCATGGAGACATAGAATACAACACATAAACTGAAGATTATCACACAGATGTACTTGAGTCTGTAAGAAAGCAGAAAACAGGATCAAATCAAATCAAATCAAATCAAATATCTTTAATACGGTCAATGACCAGCAAGCAATTTATAAAGTAAAATATGGCAATATAAGTCTTATTGTACTACAGATAACAGTGGAGATATGGCCAAATCACAAAATTGGTACTTATGTTTATGACCAGGTTTCGACTTTTAAGGTTTTAAGGATTCAATTCAAATGTCACTACTGTTTATTATCGTTCCTTCGATGTTTGCAATTTGAACTCTGTTGCTGTCATCATTGCTCGTCTTATTCTTTTTGCAATGTAACAGTACTTCGCCACAGGCCTGTTGATTTCGGGGTCTTTGTCAGCTAAGAGGTGTCTGATATAGGTGTCGTCTGTACTACGAGGTATTTTCCTCAGAATCGGCTCGACCAGCTCTTTTCTTGAGTCTCGATATAATGGGCAATATAAGATGACATGCCCGATGGTTTCAATTTCGTTGCTGTTACAGGGACATAATCTTTGTTCAATCGGTATTTTGTTGTATCTTCCCTCTAGAAAAGCTGAAGGGAGAGCGTTAAAGCGGGCCCTGGTAAATGCCCATCGGTGTTTAGCATTATGTAGAACTTTGAGATAGTTTGCTAGATGGGGGCTTTGGGAATCGAATAAGAGTTTATGAGTTATCGGAAGTTGACTAAAGTCATTTTGGGCTTCAATGTCCCTGAGTCTTTCTTTGATTATATTCTTGGCCCTTCCCCTTTCTAAACTTAATAAATACTCTGGGGAGAGACCATACGTGGCCAATTTTCTGAGAGTGCCCTTCAACCAACTAGATTGGAATTTGTCAAGAAGCATCAGGGAAAGTAGTCCAACCGGCGAGTTGTTAAGTCTTAGCCAAGTGCATAAGGTTCTTATCCATACTTTAGTTTTGATGCTGTATAAGCCCGCTTCCAGTCGTAGGGCAGCGTTTGGGACGCATTTAGGTGTTTGCAGGAGTGATCTAAGGAAACCTGATTGTATCTTTTCGTATGGGTCTAGATTGGAGAGGGAGACGAGTGGTGCGCCGTATAGCATTTGTGCTGTTGGTTTTGCAGCAAATAGTTTAATTGTGGCAGGAATAAAATTTCCTCCCATTGTACGATGGTGTCAGGGAACTGACATCGGAGCGAGAGGCGAAGGGGAGGCTCCTAGATGATGCTGGAGAAGGACCCAGCAGCAGGGGGAGAAACAGCTCAGTGGAGGGGGAAGCATTTAAGCGCAACACCAGGGATAAAGGTGGGCAGATGGGGGAATCGGAGAGAGGGCTCCAGGACTCTTCACTGGAACTCAGTGAGGAGGGGACAGGTCCTCCGCTACCCACGCCCTCCCTGCGCAGAAGACTCCCGCGCAGTGAGAGGAGGAGGAGACTGGGTGTCAAACAACTCTTATGTTGGAAGAGGTTCAAGAAACGCCCACTGACGGATTCTGCCAGTGACTGAGGCAGTCACAATTAGAAAGGGCTGTGCAGTCAGAAAGGTTTAACAAGGCAAATTAGCCTAGAGAGGCACCAGTTTACGCACGAGTAACTCATACTCATCACAGCAATCCGTCAGTCCCTGAAAGTTGCTCGTGCGCAGCAGCAGGCAGGCAGCATCATGAGCAAGCCCGGAGAAGCAAGCACCCAGGGGGGAGCAGCTGGAGGGCAAACGCTGGTGGAGAGGAACCGAGAGTTGGAGCAGCATGTGGCCATTCTGACGGCGCGGCTGGACGAAAGGCGGTCTCAAGATGCACAGGTCAGACCCACCCCCATAGCAAGGAAGGTACCGGGACTGGTGCACAAATTTGGGGGGAAGCCGCAGGAATATAGTGCGTTTTGAACGGAAATAGAGTACGCATTGGAACTGCAGCATGACGATTTTGAAGACGACGCGGCGCGGGTGGCATATATTGTGGGTCACCTGCAGGACGGGGCCAGGGAATGGGTCAGGCCCCTTATGGCGACGCAGAATGCCGCCATGCAGGACCTGAGGAAATTCTTCCAGGCAATGGACGCAATGTTTTCCAGTGATGTACAAAAAGTGTGACAAAGCGGGAACTGATGAACTGTAAACAGGGGAGCCAGTCAGTTAGGGACTACTGGTCGCGCTTTGCCATGATAGTTCACCGCCTCGGGTGGCAACTGGACTCCGAACCCATACAAATGTTATTCGAGGAGGGGTTGTCCCCAACGGTTAAGGATGAACTTTCCCGCGCACCCCGCCCACAGGGGATGGATCAGCTGACCAAGGCTGTGCTTGCGATTGGCGTGCGGCAGGAAGCGCGGGCCCAGGAGAGGCGGGAAGGGAGAGAGCAACGTTGCCATGACTACCGCATTCCTGAAATACCAAGGCAGCCTTCCCCGCCAGCAGAGCCAATGGAAATAGATGGGGCACGCGCGCGGAAGTTTCAAGCGCCAGCGAAGGGCGCAAAAGGAGGGAAAGGATTGGAAAACCTCCAAGAAGTGTTTCCTTTGCCAGCGGCCAGGACATTTTGCCAGAGCCTGCCCTCAAAGAAAGGCCTGGCAAGGAATGGTGGGAGCCGCAGGGGGTGAGGAGGAGGTGGTAAAGGAACAGGAACAGGGAAACGGGAACGCTTGGCTGCCAATCAAGGGGCACAGCAGCCAGGCCAGCCACCAGTAAAAGTGCCCCAACCAGACCCCCAAGGCGGCAATAGCCATCGAAGTGGTGCTAGAACTCCCGAACGGGCACCCAGTCAAGGTGAAAGGGATGCTGGATTCAGGCAGCTCATGTAATTTCTTCAGCAAAGACTTTGCATTAGAGCACCAGCTCCACTTACTGCCTTTGGATTTTCCCTTGCAAGTGACCACCATTGATGGCAGGGAGCTTCTAGGAGGGGAAGTGACACACCAGACCCCACCAATGAGAATGAGGGTGTCCAGGCACTCGGAGACCATCGCCTTTCACGTCGCCTCACTAGCAGGGCCCCCAATAATATTAGGGATGAGCTGGCTAGCACAACATGATCCAGTGGTGGCGTGGCATCAGAGGACAGTCACCTTTGGGTCAGCTTACTGCCTGGAACACTGTCTAGGGGGGGAAGCCCCAAGAATGACCGTGGCCAGGGTGGCTGGGATGGCTGTGGAGCGGAAAGGGGAGGTGCCGCCGCAATACGCAGATCTGCGGGAGGTCTTCAGCGAGAAGGAGGCAGATAGACTGCCACCCCATAGGCCCTTTGACTGCCAGATCAACTTGCTTCCGGGGGCTCAGCTGCCAGTGGGTAAGCTGTATGCCATGTCTGACAGGGAGATGAAGGAGTTGCGAGAATTTATTGACAAGAACCTGAAAAGAGGCTTCATAAGAGAATCAAAGGCGGTGGGGGGCAGTCCGGTGTTCTTTGTGGACAAAAAGGACACAAATAAACCCAGGCTCATAGTGGACTATAGGGCTGTCAATTTGGTGTCAGAACCCGTGACCTTCCCAATGCCCAGGATTGACGACATTTTAACGCGAGTGAGGAAAGGCAAAATTTTTACCAAGCTGGACCTCAGGGGCGCATACAATTTGATCAGGATGAGGGAGGGGGACGAATGGAAGACCACAATGTTCACACCCCTAGGTGCCTTTGAGTACTTAGTTATGCCTTTTGGATTACAGTCGGGCTCCGCCTGTTTTCAAGCTTTCATGCACCACGTGTTGGGGTCTCTGCTGTACAAGAACTGCGTAGCCTTCTTGGACGACGTCTTAATTTATTCGGACAACGAGGAGCAACATGTTAGAGACGTCAGGGAAGTGTTACAACGACTGCAGAAGCACCAGTTGTGGGTCAAGCTGGAAAAATGTCAGTTTCACGCCAGAGAAGTCGAGTTTCTGGGGTACAAGTTGTCTGACAAAGGCTTAGCGATGGACCCAAGCAAGGTGCAGGCAGTGCTGGAGTGGAAGGCTCCCAAAACACGGAAGGACGTACAGAGGTTCCTAGGGTTCAGCAACTTCTACAGGAAGTTCATCAAGAACTTCGCCCACTTGACAGCGCCCATCACGGATTGTCTCAGTAGCAAAAAGAAGTTTGTGTGGACAGAAGAGGCCCAGCAATCCTTCGAAAAACTGAAGAAGGCGTTCGCATCGGAAGAGCAACTCCTGCACGTAGATCTGGAGAAACCCCTGAGGCTAGAGACCGACGCGTCCGACAGAGCCGTAGGGGCGGTCCTTTGCAGCCAGGGCGGGGCAAGCAGGAATGGAAACCGTGTGCCTTTTCTCGAGAAAACTGAGCAAGTCGGAGCAAAACTATACAGTGTATGACCGCGAACTGCTGGCGATCTACGCGGCCTTTCGTCGTTGGCGTCATCTACTGATAGGGGCGCAACAACAGATCCAGGTTTGCACAGATCACAAGAACTTGGAGTACTGGAGAACCGCACGAGTACTCAACCAGAGACAGATTCGATGGGCACAGGAGTTCTCCAAGTTTTTCTTTGAAATCCGATACGTGCCCGGAGAGGAAAACGTAAGAGCAGACGCTCTCTCGCGTAAACCGGAGTACCTGGAAGGAGAGGGGCCGCCGGAGAAACGACACGTGATCCCCGAGGACCGATGGGTGTGTGTGGGAACTTTGGTGGGGAAACGAGAACTAGCCGGGCTGACCAGAAACGACGTGTTCACGCAAACTAAAATCCGGGAACTACGAGACGGAAGAGGGACCCAAGAAGGGTTTGAGGAGAAGGAAGGGGTACTGTACTATAGGGGAGCGCTGTACGTACCGGGGGAGACCCTGAGGGGAAAGGTACTCAAACAACTCCACGACAACCCCACAGCAGGGCACTTTGGACAGCACAAAACCATGATGCTCGTGACCAGGCAGTTCTGGTGGCCCAGGGTGAGGGAGGATGTACGGGAATATGTACGGGGGTGCGACCGCTGCCAAAGGGCAAAGGGGAGCGGGCTGCCCCACAGGATTACTGGAACCCTTACCCACGCCGGGAAAACCCTGGGAGGTGGTATCCATTGAATTTATGACAGATTTGCCCAAGTCCCGGGAAAGACAGCGGTCATGGTAGTGGTCGACCTACTGACAAAAATGTGCCATTTTATAGCTTGCTCACATGCTGTAACGGCAGAGGAAACAGCCCGGTTGTTTGTGGAGCACATATTCCGGCTGCATGGCGCCCCCTTGAGGGTTATCTCCGACCGCGGAAAACAATTTACTTCCCGGTTCTGGAGGAAGCTCATGAGCTTGCTGCAGGTGGAGGTGGGTTTCTCGACGGCGAGACACCCAGAGACCAACGGGCAAGCAGAAAGAGCGAACAGTATACTCCAGCAATACCTACGCTGCTACGTCAGCGAGAGGCAGAACGATTGGGTAGAAAACTAGCGCTGGCTGAATTCGCGTACAACAACGCGGAACACGTGTCCACGGGAATGAGCCCATTCATGGCCAACCATGGGTGTCATCCCAGGGCCTTCCCGGGAGTGGGGAGGAAAGCTGGAGCGTACCCGCTGCAGAGCAGTTTGTGGAAGAAATGGAGGCCCTGCACCAGCAACTTAAGATGAACTTGGAGCGGGCCAAGGAAACTTACAAGAGGCAGGCAGACAAGCACCGCAGGGAAGGGGAGACCATACGGGTGGGGGACCGGGTGTGGTTGTCCACCCAAGGGCTACCTTTCAAAGGGGGGTGCAAGAAGTTGCAGCCCAGACGGCTGGGACCTTTTGAGGTAACACAGCAAGTTAATCCCGTGGCATTTAAGCTCAAGTTGCCTGATAGCATGAAAATACACCCGGTTTTCCACAGGTCCCTGCTCTCACCGCATAGGGAAGGGCGGGAATTCCAGGGGCAAGAGGGAGAAGTCACCACACACCCGCAGGTAGAAGAAAGGGAACACCACCACAGGGCCACGGAAATACTGGACTCAAGGTGGCGAGGGCGCCGGGTGGAGTATTTGGTAGCGTGGGAGGGGGAACCCAGGTCCGAAAACACGTGGGTCCCCACGGAAGCCTTCGAGGACAGGTATCTGGTGGAGGTATTCCACCGCCGGTTCCCGGACAAACCCAAACCCCTGGAGAGATTCTGGGAGGAGCAATTTGGAACCACAGATGATGAAGAGGTTTTTGAGGGATTTTCTGACTCCGAGGAGGAGGGAGGAGAGGTTTCGGAGGAAGAAGAATCAGACTGGGAGGACCACCCCGTTGGCAGGTGGAAGAGCGGGTGGGAAGCGGGTTTCGAATCCACAGAAGATGGTGACAGTTCCTTCCGGGGGTTCCCCGCCTCGTCGGCCGACGAAGGGGACGAAGTTGATCCCACAGGTCGGTCCAGGGGTGGAGGGGATTCTGGGGGGGAGGTGGATGTCAGGGAACTGACATCGGAGCGAGAGGCGAAGGGGAGGCTCCTAGATGATGCTGGAGAAGGACCCATCAGCAGGGGAGAAACAGCTCAGTGGAGGGGAAGCATTTAAGCGCAACACCAGGGATAAAGGTGGGCAGATGGGGGAATCGGAGAGAGGGCTCCAGGACTCTTCACTGGAACTCAGTGAGGAGGGGACAGGTCCTCCGCTACCCACGCCCTCCCTGCGCAGAAGACTCCCGCGCAGTGAGAGGAGGAGGAGACTGGGTGTCAAACAACTCTTATGTTGGAAGAGGTTCAAGAAACGCCCACTGACGGATTCTGCCAGTGACTGAGGCAGTCACAATAAGAAAGGGCTGTGCAGTCAGAAAGGTTTAACAAGGCAAATTAGCCTAGAGAGGCACCAGTTTACGCACGAGTAACTCATACTCATCACAGATGGTATCTTAGAATTGCTGTTGTACTTTTTTGTGCTGTAGAGGAACTGTAATTTATGTGGGCAGTCTTCTTCCTTGATGCTTGGAATATAACTCCTAGGTATTTAAAGCATGTCACTTGTTCAATCTCCTGATTGTCTAATTTCCATCTATATATTTTTCTTTTGTTAGAGAAAACCATGATTTTTGTTTTTGGTAGTTCACTACTAGTTTCTCTTCTCTACAATATTGGGATAAGCTGTTAAGAGCTCTTTTAAGGCCCTTCTGAGTCTGGGACAGTATAACCGCATCGTCTGCATAGAGTAGGATAGGCAGTTTTTTGTCTGCTAATTTTGGGGCGTGTGTATCCGCTCCTTGTAGGTGGTCTGTTAGGGAGTTTATATAGATGTTGAACAAAAAGGGGGCATCCTTGTTTAACTCCCTTTGTTGTTCTAATGGAATTAGAGAGTTGACCTTCTTGGCTACATCTTATACGAAGTCGTGTGTTGTTGTACAGTTTGGATATTAATAGCAGGAGACGTCGGTCTATAGATGATTTGTTGAGTTTGTCCCAGAGTCGGGGTCTTGAGATGGAGTCAAAGGCTGCTTTAAAATCTACAAATGCTGCGAATAGGTGGTGATTATGATGCAGCGTGTATTTCTCAGCTAGGTGCTGTAAGGTCAAGCAGTGATCCATTGTGGATCTCCCCTTTCTAAATCCCGCCTGTGCATCATCAAGAATCTTCGCTCTTTCTATCCATTCGCACAGTTTCTCACTGAGGTGTTTAGCATATAATTTGCTAAATATTCAGGAGGCTTATAGGTCTGTAGTTGGAGGGATCATCCCTCAGGCCTTTTTTGTAAATGGGAATAATGATGGAAGTCCCCCAGTCGTATGGAATCTGTGCAGTTCTATCTATATATGTGAACAGGGAGGCTAACAGGGGGGCCCACCAGGTCGCGTTGGTTTTTAAAAGTTCCGCTGGTATACAGTCAATTCCGGGGGCTTTCCCGTTCTTTAGTTGGTCAATCAGCAGATGAGTCTCTGTTATTGAAACTGCTGGCCATGGTCTTCCGGTATGTCTAATACATAGGACTCATCGCTAGATTCCTCGTAAAGATTATGGAAGTGTGTTTCCCAGGCTTTCATTGATATGCAGCAGGATAGTTGTGATAGACCCCTATCCGGTTGTACAGCAACGATTCTCCAGAATAATGATGGGTTACTGGAATTGGAGGCCTCTATCAGTTGCTGCCATAATAACTTCATTGCGTACCTTTTCTTTTGTGTCAGGAGTTTTTTGTAACTTCTTTTGACTTCAAGCATCTTTTGTCTGTTATCCTCTGTTGGGTTATCCTTATAACAGATGAAGGAGTGGATCAATGATTTCCTGGAGGCTATGCACTCATGATCGAACCACTCCCTGGAAGTTTTCCTATAGTAGGGAGACTTGGAATTCGGTTTTACAACAAACTCTTGAATTTTTTGTATAAGCATCTCATATGTTGTCATCATGTTCGGGGCGCTCTCCTCTGTTTCTAAGCACCCTTCCATGATTGCTTTTGAGAGACGGTAGCTCTCCTCAGATTTGTACCAGTTAGATATCCGCTCGCTCACTTGTCCATTCCATCTGATTTTCTTGAGGCCTGTTCCGGGTGTTAACTCCGGTTGATATCTGTGTTGTGGTTTGGGCAGATCAAAGGGTAGATCACACACGAGGGATAAAGGTAGGTGGTCACTTTCAGCTCTTGCTATAATGGTGAATTTTGATATCCTAGGGATCAAATCCTGGGAAACAATGCAATAGTCTATCACTGACAATTTGTGTCCTGACCAATATGTATATTGACCGGGATAATCTCCTTGTATAGCCCCATTCAATAGGTGTAGGTTCTGTCTGTAGGCCATCTGTGCATCCACTGTTTCGTTCAGAATGTTATTTTTTGTATACCTGCATGTGCTCAGAGGCGCATTCTGTGTTGTTGTTGCTGCTGTTCTGAAGAGATGTTTTGGGACTGTGATGTAGTCGGGTGAGACTTCAGAACTTCAGAAGTTCTTCATGGCCTCTTCTTCCTCTCCTGGGCTTGTGGATGTTTTTCCTGTGGTACAACTAGGGTTAGGCACCTGTGCCCTGCAGTGGGTGGGGGGAAAGTTGCAGAGTGGCCCTACCATTAGGGAGAGTGAGGCAGGCACCTCAGGCAGCTGGATTTGTGTGCCATAGAAAGACAGCAAGTTGTTAGTTTTTTAAAAAAAAAATGGCCAGGGAGAGACTGCAGCTGCACCTATTTCTGCTTATGCGGTTTTCTCCTTTGGGTGCCACAGTACCTTGCCTGGGCAATAGCACATCTTGACTAAGGGTGGGGAGTGTTTGCTGCAGCTCCACCCAGGAACCCAAACACTTTTGACCAGCTCTTCTATGGAACAGTTAATTCTGTCATATTGATGTCAAGAGTGACTCAGTATTCATGAGGCGTGCCTGTGGTTTTGCATTATGGAGTAGTTATTTGCAGTAGTGATTTGCACTGTTCCGTAGCTGACTCCAAGCCCTACCCTTCCTTGTGCAGTGGAAATTGGAAGGCATTTCCCAACACTCGCTGTAATCCAGTGCTAATGCTACTGGCCTCTCCAGGGAGCAGGCAAGAAATCTCAATAAACACAGAATTTCACTGTAACCCCTTGAGGTCCTTTAACCTTCCCTAGACTCACAGTCCTGTGTTTAAAGAGAGGTAAATGAGTGTCACCAATGGAAGCGAAAGCCTTGAAAAAGCTCAATATGGAGGTCAAATGGCCGAAATATTGGGAAATTTTGGAACAAGATGGAGATAGACTGAAATTGCAGAGTTTTGAAAAACTAAAAACAAAGTGCGAGACTGGCTTCATTATTTTCAGATAATGGAGGCATTTAAATTGGACAAGAAAATTGGCTTCCAGGTGGAAAAATCAAAATTAGAAACTGAACTGTTAGAACCCAAAACTAAGAATTTGTCAAGAATGTATAACTTGCTGCTGAAATGGAACACTCAGGATGAAACGGTAAAATCGGCTATGATTAAATGGGCACAAGACGTTGGACATAACATTATGTTTGCTGACTGGGAACAGTTGTGGACCACAGGTATGAAATTTACGGCATGTAATGCCTTAAGAGAGAATATTATGAAAATGATATACAGGTGGTACATAACCCCAGTCAAGCTTGCAAAAATCTATCATTTGCCCGATAATAAATGTTGGAAATGTAAAGAAACTGAAGGTACATTTTTCACCTTTGGTGGACGTGCCCAAAGATTAAGGCTTTCTGGGAAATGATATATAATGAATTAAAAAGGTATTCAAATATACCTTCCCTAAGAAACCAGAGGCCTTTCTCCTGGGCATGGTCGGCCAGATGGTGATAAAAAGGATAGAACCTTTTTTATGTATGCAACAACAGCAGCAAGAATACTCATCGCAAAGTATTGGAAGACACAAGAACTTCCCACGCTGGAGGAATGGCAGATGAAACTGATGGACTATATGGAACTGGCGGAAATGACTGGCAGAATCCGTGACCAGGGAGAAGAGTCGGTGGAGGAAGATTGGAAGAAATTCAAAGATTATCTACAGAAACACTGCAAAATTAAAGAATGCTAGAGTGATGTTGGATTGAAAATAAGTGGTTTCCAGCTGTACAGGATTTAAAGTTATAGATAGACTAAGATTAAAGATTAGGATTAAAGAAGTTTAAGGAAATGGAAATTTGGTATTTAAGAGGTAAAATTTTAATGCTATATTACATTAAGATTAAAGATTGGGATTAAAAAGTGGAAAAGAAATTGCTGGACAAACAATTTGGACTGGAATACAAAAGAGGGAGGTATGAGGAGGTCCAGAAAATAAGTAAATTTAAAAACGGAAATGAAAAGGTGATATTGTTTTTAATTGTTCTGTTTCTTTTTTTGTTTTTTGTTCTCTGTGTTGTTTTTTTTCCTTCTTGGATTATGTACTGTGTATTTGTGTATTTCTTTTTTATGTTTTTCTGTTTAATCTTATACTGAAATCTTAATAAAAATCATTTAAAAAAAACAAACAGAATGTTATTTTTTTCTTGTTTTCCTCCTCTAAAAACTAGGTGCGACTTATGGAGGGAAAAATACGGTACTTATCCTTTGTATGTTCTTATAAGCCAGTATGCGAATAATCATACCAATTCCAAAACCTTTTTTGGGGGGAGGGCGAGTCTTACATTTCAGAATACTACTCTTGGCATTTCAGAATATTTGCAGTCTTCACATTTGGAATTTTACTTATGGTTCATCCATACCATCCCGCTTATTATGGGTTGTAAGCCCTTGTGCCTGCATTAATTCTTCCTTGTTCATAGGGCTTTCTTAAAGTTCGGCTGTCCTACAATTTCTCCTTTCGAAAACTGAAAATTCCCTATGCTTTGAAAATACAAATAGGAGTATTACATTGATTCCATGTCCCTGGCTGCCTCTTAGTTATTGTGCACAACCCCATATTAAATTAGCAGGAAAAGTTGGCATTTGATTTCCCACCTCCAGCTCCAAAATGTCTTGGGGTGACCTTCATAAAAGCAGGAAAAGGGATCATTTTAAATTTTACAAGCAGTTACAATAACATTTTCTTTTACACCCAGAAAATGGTAACTTGCATGTGGCAAAAACTGCATTTCGGATCCTATTTACGTGCGTAATTTCTGATCATTATGTGTATATGCGGCACATACCTCTCCCACCACATGCAACCAAAGTCAAATATATTTGCCATTCACCTTTGTTTAACATGCTGAGGGAAACAAAGGTAAGACCCTAAAGCAACTTCTATGCATATCAGAAAGTGATTCTCTATCGCCGAGTTTGATAAAACCTCCCACACGGGAAAACCAACAGTTTTAAAGTTAAACACATAAAACAAGCGCCTGAAATTCTCAGCAATTCCAAATCCCAGCCGAAGTCTCAAATGCCAAGAAAAAGGGACTGTATTCAGAAAGGTCTCCAGGCAAATGGGCATCATTATTCTCTGCAGGACTTTGTGTTTTCAGCCCACCTTCAGTTCTCAAGAGTTGCAGCTCTTAAGAAATAGCCCCACCACAGCAACCCCCTCCTCATCCGGCTATCCAACACAAATGACAACCCAAAAGCAACATGGTAGGCTAATAATATGATTACAACACTTTTATATCACTACTGAATTGTATCTTAATTTACAATCAGATAGCGTACAATATATACATGGTGACACCAAGTAATGTGAGTTAAGAAAATGTCTCAAAGTAAGGGTTTACAGTGGTACCTCGGGTTACAGATGCTTCAGGTTACAGACGCTTCAGGTTACAGACTCTGCTAACCCAGAAATAGTACCTCGGGTTAAGAACTTTGCTTCAGGATGAGAACAGAAATCGTGCTCCGGTGGCACGGCAGCAGCAGGAGGCCCCATTAGCTAAAGTGGTACCTCAGGTTAAGAACAGTTTCAGGTTAAGAACGGACCTCCAGAACAAATTAAGTTCTTAACCAGAGGTACCACTGCATTTTGGCTAGCATAACATCACAAAGAATCACTCGAGCTTGAGGCAACACGCCTTCCAGGGTAAGTGTAAAAGTCGCATTTCCTCATAGGTAAAAATCCACTTGTATTGGAAAGAAACTGGAGCCCTTCATGTTATTCCCTCTTCTTCTATTTTTGCATAAAGAACCCCAAGCACCACATAAGTATTTCAAAAGCCACTCACCTCCATAACTTCTGGAGGAGCTGAAAACAACCCGCTTCCATTCTGAGAAAACTCCCCACTGGAGAAGAGCCAAGCATAGATCTCTCAACTCCACTAAGTCAGGTCAGTCAGAACGATATCCTTGCATCTCCTACTGAAGAATAACATGCTCCACCTCCAGCCCCAGAGGTGTAGCCTCCAAGCACCTGTAAGCCTCCAACCCCACCCAGCCACAGGTGTGGCAAATAACATTATTAAGATAATGCACATTGCAAGCTCATCTCACATAAGTTTTACCTTTTGTTGTGACCCAATGCCCTGAACACCTCCGGGTCACTGTAAGAACATTGTAAGAGCCTGCCGGATCGGGCCAATCCCCCTTCTAGCCTTGCATCCTGTTCTCACACTGGCCGACCTGATGCCTGCAAGAAACCCCCTATAGGACCTCCCTTTCTACTTGCACTAGCTAGAAACGTATTTTTAGGGTGTTTCCAGGTGGGATTGAGTCACATCTTGGCCAATTCAGGTTGTGCAATGAAGATTCAGCAGTTACTAAGTATAGTAGGAGATGAGATACCACAAGACAGGAAAAAATTATTCTTTTATGCAACTGCAGCAGCCAGGTTACTCCTTGCAAAGAACTGGAAAGGAAATTATATACCCACAAAAGAGGATTGGCTGTATAAATTAACAGAATTTATAGAACTGGCAAAATTAACGGCGGCAATAAGATCAAGCACATCAGAAATTAAGGTCACAATGGTTATGGTTCGAAGAGTACATGAGTAAACACTGCTCTAAAGATAACATGCTGATATGTTTAGACTAAGCTTGTGAAGTTGTCTTGATAATATAATATCAAGAAATAATGTAGTGATACATGATTTGCAATGTACGGTAAATAATAACTTGAATGAAAAAATGATGAGCACTGGTGGAGTGAAGTCACAAAGGTGTATTATCATCCACCTATTTTATGTACTTCTTTCTTACCTTAACTTTTCTCTTTCATTTTTCTTCTTATCCTTTCATTGGTGTTATTTCTTGTTTTTATTATGTTATTTAAAAAAGAAAAGTAGAAGATTCAGCAGATGCCGTCCATTTTCACCTTTAAACACCTGCTGAAAACTTTTCTATGCTGCCAAGCTTATGTGGGCAATTAAGAAAATGTCTTAATAGTTAGTCAATGGTCATTGATTTTAAACTTTGATATGGCTTTTTTCCCTATATGAACATTGCTGTTGTAAGCCACTTTGATTTTTTAAGAATATACCATTATGTAAATATTTTTATACCTAAATGAAGTAGATCTCATGCAGCGAATGTGTTTCCCTCTTAGGAAAACAAAATGGTCTTTTTGCGATAAGGGTAACGCACTGGAAAGTGTGGGATAACACTTCTATGACGCAACATTGTATGTTCACTGTGCAAACAAATGAGAATGAAGGTGCAATAAATAGCTGACCTCATCTAACATCCCTACAAATTTTGTTGCAAACAAGTAAGGACAAATGCTCAATAAATGGGTTATCTGGTTAAAGCGACCTTGGATTGGAAATAAGAGAACACTGAAGAAGTGGATAATGAAGTTAAATAAAGTGTTGGGTAAATTGCAGAAAGATCTGTGGGATGTGATACACAGATAGCAGGCAACTACAACATTCCTAGAGTGGACATGCAAGGGGATGTTTGGTCCAGCCAGTCGGAACTTCCTGTTTCCTCCTGGGCTGGGACAAACTTCCTTTAGCATGTGACTAGAGGTGGGCGTGACCTTACCTGCCCAGGTAACAAAAAGGCAAGACAGGCAGCACCCTCTCTCTTCTCCATCTTGCTTTCGTCACGTGAGCTGCAGTGACTGCTAGTCTGCAGTCACTGGGACTAACTCCCATATGGGGTAGTTCCACATGTATATGCTCTGTAACTAAGTCTGCCTTCAGAGATCCATCTGTGAACTGAATGTGTGAGTAAACTTCTTTTATATACTTTACACAAGATTGTGCCGTGTCTATTCTTTTTAAGGAGGATATGGGGGAACTACCAGGAATCTAATATGAAGAGGCTTAAGCAAGAATGCAACCAGCTGTCCGCTGTGCGTTTAAAAGGGGAATGTAAAACTCTGCTAAGAAAAGGAACTTGCAAACGCAAGTTAGGAAGGGTATTATTAATCAATATATCCTCTCCTGCCTCCCTGAACATTCCCACAAGATCCTGGTCTAATCTGCAAAGCAACATCCACCTCCTTTAAATGGGATTTGAGTCCAAAGGTTGGGATTCACCATAATAATCAGTGGCCTCAATTCCACTTAACTAAGAGAGCAACATTATGTACCTGCTACACCACTACTAAATAGCCAGAGTATCCAATGTACACCCAGCTCAGGAGGGCAGCAGAAAAGCACACAAGTAGGAAACTTTGAAAAGATGGGGATATGGCACCTGTCTCCATCAATCAGGAACAATACTATTAACTCTGCCCAGACACTAAGAGTAATGGTGACACACTTGTCAATCTGGGAATGCAGTCCATCTAGGGGAAGGAAAACTCTGATCCTAAACCTCCTCTGCCTTGTGGGGCATCTTCGGGAGAAGAAAAGTGTTAAGTTGTGGGTGAACATATCAGACGACACAGCGATTCTCCAAACAACTCTTGCTTATTCACAGGTCAGAACAGAACTGAACTGAAGGGTTCAGCCAGCCTGCTTATATAGAGCTCCAGTACAACGTAACTGTAACAACTTTCTGTAACTATCCAATCACTGAACGTCACTTTTGATCCCTTATTTGCATATGTGGACCTGAACTATCTACAGTATCCCCCTGCTGGCCCAGGGTGAGAACTTCAGTACATAACAAAAAGGCCGAGGAGTAAACCCTACACAAATCCAGAGTGGACTCCCTAAAATGGTTGGACGGCACCTTGTACGCCTCCTTGCGGCAACTCCTGCAGCCAAGCTGGTGCCAAATGCATTGCTCTGCTTTTCTTTGGACTAAATCAGCGAGGCCAAGAGGTGGGCCTTGTCATCTGGGCAGCCCAGGATCTCTATACACACTGCCCAGGCTTGCGCCCAGGAAGCTCACTTCAGTGCTGCTAACGCAGCAGAAACAACGTGGGAGGCAGCAGTTCCGAGTTACTGGTCTTTGCAGGCACTGTGATTCGCCAATAGTTTGACTTCACCCACAGAGGCGCACTCCATTTTCTCTTGAGACAGATGGATGCCAACCACCCCCAGCATATATTATTATTCTTTTCTTATTATTTATTGGATTTATAAACTGTCTCAGGGCGGTTCACAGAATAAAATCAAGATAAAAAACCACAAAATACAGTGGTGCCTCGAATTAAGAACTTAATTCGTTCCACAGGTCCGTTCTTAACCTGAAACTGTTCTTAACATGAAGCACCACTTTCCCCAATGGGGCCTCCCGCTGCCACCGCTGCACGATTTCTGTTCTCATCCTGAAGAAAGTTCTTAACCCGAGGTACTATTTCTGGGTTAGCGGAGTCTGTAACCTGAAGAGTCTGTAACCTGAAGCGTATGTACCATATTTTTCGCACCATAGGATGCACCGGACAATAGGATGCACTTTTAGAGGGGGGAGAACAAGAAAAAAAAATTCTCCCCCTCTCTGCCCAGCGCCCCTTCAGCGAAGCGGCAGGAGGCGCTGCGCAGAGAGGGGGAGAACTTTCCCCCTCTTGTTTTCCCGCTCTAAAACAATGTGCCGCTTAAGGTGCGTTCAGGCGGCTACCTTGGAAGCCTGGAGAGCGAGAGGGGTCGGTGTGCACTGACCCCTCTCGCTCTCCAGGCTTCAGGTTCCTTTCGACCTGCTCTTTGGGGCTGGCGGGGGGAAGCCCACCACCAGCCCCAAAGAGCAGGTCAGGGAGCAGCGGAAAGGGGCAGCGGAGAGGCTCCTGCCATAGCCGCGCGTCACCTCTCCAGCCAGGAGAGGGTCGCGGGGCTATGGCTTCTTTAGCCCCGCGCGCGCTCTCCCGGCTGGAGAGGTGATGCGTGGCTATAGAGGCTCCTGCCATAGCCGCGCGTCACCTCTCCAGCCGGGAGGGGGTCGCGGGGCTATGGCGTCTTCGCTCCATAGGACGCACACACATTTCCCCTTCATTTTTGAAGGGGAAAAAGTGCGTCTTATAGAGCGAAAAATACGGTAACCACTGTACATAATAAAAAGAAAAACAACAACCCAATAGCCCCACCCGCAAAAACCCCACATTTTAAAAGGGCATAGGATGTAAATCAGGTCAGCCAAAGACCTGGTTAAAAAGGAACGTTTTTGCTTGGCACCTAAAGGTGTATAATGAAGGCACCAGGTGAACTTCCTTGGGGAGAGCATTCCACAGACGGGGAGCCACTGCAGAGAAGGCCCCGTTCTTTTGTTGCCATCCTCCAGACCTCTCGAGGAGGAGGCACATGAAGGAGGCCCTCGGAAGATGATCTCAGGGTCCAGGTAGGTTCATATGGAAAGAGGTGGTCCTTGAGGTATTACGATCTGATTCAGGGATATATCCATGCATCACCAAGACACAAATGCAAGATGATGCCACAGCATCTCCACCAACACTCCTTGTGTAAATGTGTAGCTTCTTTTTGCAGGCAAGGTAGAGAAGAGATGTATTGCCTGACTGCTTATGGTGGTGACTTAACAGATTTGCGGCACACCTAATTGGGGTGTTGCCCTTTAAGAAACCACAGCAATTCTTGCTGAATTAATTGGTCTAATTTGTTGGCGATGGAGGAGTGTGCCTGGGGGAGTGAAGTCAAATGGAGCCGATATATTGAAAGTCTGAAGAGTACAAACCACTTCTTTGTACGCTTCACACAATAAATCCCAGCCGGCTGAGTGCCAGGGCAGGGAGATTCTGAGAACAGCATACCATGAGAAGTATGTCTTGCGGTAAAGTAAAGCGGACACTGGTATCAGTCATTAGCCATGGGTGGTGCCAGAACAGGAAGCCTCTGAACATACCCAAGAGCACCTTGCCAAGGGAAAAGTGCTATGTAGTCACGAAGTTGCCTGCATGGTACAATGAAAGGAAGCCTCTGGGCATGCACTGAGTGCAACAGAACTAACTGAGCCTTCGCAGCCTGTGCTTCCGGACTTGCAGAACAGTATATCTATAAACTTTTGGGGGGTGGGGAATGAAAAAGGAGTACAGTGGGCATTGAAACGACAGGTAGAACCTATGCCAGCTGCAGAGGACATGCCCTCTGTGTGGACGGGGCCAATTAATTTAACAATTGTTTGTGCAGCTGGTGTAGCATGCAGTTATGGATATTCCGAAAGCGCCGTTAATCATCCCCAAACCTCAGCACTCCCAAAACTGAAATGTGTGTGCAGAGACAGGCTGCACACTGTGTATATACCGTATTTTTCGCTCTATAAGATGCACCTGACCATAAGACGTACATAGTTTTTAGAGGAGGAAAACAAAAAATATTCTGAACGAAACAGTGGATGTATGATTTTTTGGGTGCAGGCTGTAGCCATGGACATGCTATGTGATCTGATGGTGAATTTGGGGTGACCCAATGGAAAAATCCTGAGGATCCTTGTGGATCTGTGCTTTGTAACCACATTTTTGCACCATTGCAGCCCCAGGAAACAGTGGATGCGTGATTTTTTGGGTGCAGGTTGTAGCCATGGACATGCTATGTGATTTGATGGTGAATTTGGGGTGACCCAATGTAAAAATCCTGAGGATCCATGGACTTTTACCTCCCCTCTCCCAGGCAGCCTCCGCTAGCCTCCCTTATCTCTCTCCCGATCCCACCCATCAGCTGCTTCCTTTCAACACTCCCTTCCCTCTTGTTTGCCTTAGTGTCTTTTCCTTAGCTGGAGCAGTTTTTTGCTCCTCCTTTTCTTTCTAATTTCTCCTTGTCTAATTTCTCCTTTTCTTTCTAATTTCTCTCCTCATTGATTTTGTCTTCCTGTTTCCGCCCTTTGCAAGTTTGCTGTCTTCACCTCCCCCCTCCCAGGCAGCCTCCTTTATTGCTAGCATCCCTTATCTCCCTCCTCGATCGCTTGCTGATTAGTAGCTTTGTTTCCACACCCACTTCCCTCTAAAAAAAAAAAGAAAAAAGCATGACCTGCTTTTTGCCCCTGGGCAATTTGGCTCCAGGGACCACGCATTTGCTCCATAAGACGCACAGACATTTCCCCTCACTTTTTAGGAAGAAAAAAGTGTGTCTTATGGAGCGAAAAATACAGTACATACACACAGTCTCCCCTCCAATTTTTTAAACACAGCAGTTATGTTGCTCTGGACAGGCAACTTTCTTTGGAGAGCCAGAGCCTTTGCTTAGTGAGACCAACACAGACCCTCCAAGTGTCCCTATTTTCCAGGGACAGTACCAGATTTACAGAAGCTGTCGCAGTTTCTGATTTGATCCCGGAATGTCCTGCTTTTCCTTAGGATGTCCCTGTTTTCTTTTTTTTTTTTTTAAGCAATTTATTGGGTTTTACAATAAAAATAAACATAATAAACAATATAACATTTGTCTTAACACAGTTTCACATTTTCTTTGGACTTCCTCACATCCCCCGCTCCCACTTTCATCGTTATAACATTTTGTCAGCAATTTATCATCTTATTTAAATTCTTATATCTCTTCAATGTTTCATAATCTTATGGTTCTCATAAAGAGTTAAACTTTCACAGTCTTACTTGTTTTCTTAAAAAACTTCTAAGTTAAGTGGTGCTCAGTTATTTAGTCTAGCATCTTATTTAGCATTCACTCAAATCACAATATTTTTGTAGATAGTTCTTAAATTTCTTCCAATCCTCCTCGATTCTCTCTTCTCCCAGGTCACGGATTCTGCCAGTCATTTCAGCCAGTTCCATGTAGTCTATCAGTTGCATCTGCCATTCTTCCAGTGTGGGTAAATCTTGAGTTTTCCAGTGTTTTGCAAGAAGTATCCTTGCTGCTGTTGTTGCATACATAAAAAATGTCTGGTCCTTCTTTGCCACCCCTTGGCTGACAATACCCAGAAGGAAGGCCTCTGGTTTCTTGGTAAAGGTATATTTAAATACCTTTTTCAATTCATTATAAATCATTTCCCAGAACGCCTTCACTTTAGGGCAGGTCCACCAGAGGTGGAAGAACGTTCCCTCACACTCTTTACATTTCCAACACTTGTTATCAGACAGGTGGTAAATTTTTGCAAGTTTAACTGGGGTCATATACCATCTATAAATCATTTTCATTACATTTTCTTTCAGAGCGTTACATGCAGTAAATTTCAATCCATTACTCCACAACTTTTCCCAGTCCTCAAACATAATATTATACCCAATGTCCTGTGCCCACCTTATCATAGCCGATTTAACCATTTCATCTTGTGTATTCCATTCCAACAGCAAGTTATACATCCTTGAAAGTACCTTAGTCTTTGGTTCTAACAATTCTGTTTCTAATTTCGATTTCTCCACCTGGAACCCTAGTTTCTTATCATTTTTAAAAACTTCTTTAATCTGAGCGTAATGTAACCAATCTCGCACTTTGTCTTTCATTTTCTCCAAACTCTGCAATTTCCAATTGTCTCCATCTTTGTCTAATATTTCACAATATTTTGGCCATTTAGCCTCCATATTGGGTCTTTTCGGCCTTAGCTTCCAATGGTGAAAGCCACCTTGGTGTTTTATTTTCCAGCAAGTCTTTATATTTTGTCCAGACATTATACAATGATTTTCTGACAATATGGTTCTTGAAGGCCTTATTTGCTTTAACTTTGTCATACCATAAATATGCATGCCATCCAAAAACATTATTAAACCCTTCCAAGTCCAACACATCAGTGTCTTCAAGAAGTAGCCAGTCTTTTAGCCAGCAGAACGCTGCGGCTTCATAATACAACTTTAAGTCCGGCAGGGCAAAGCCCCTCTTTGTTTTACATCAGTTAATATCTTAAACTTGATTCTGGGCTTTTGCCCTGCCAGACAAACTCGAAATATCTCTCTGCCACTTCTGAAAGCACTCCGTTTTATCCAAAACCTGAAGTGTTTGAAATAAAAACAACATCCTTGGCAATACATTCATCTTAATAGCAGCAATTCGGCCTAACAAAGAAAGTTTCAATTTTGACCAACTGTCTAGGTCTCTCTTAATTTCTGTCCAGCATTTTTCATAGTTATCCTTAAATAGACTTAGATTTTTTGCTGTTATGTTTACCCCTAGGTATTTTACTTTTTTAACCACATTAAGTTCCGTCTCATTCTGAAACCGTTCTGACTCTGTATCAGTCAAATTTTTCCCCAAAACCTTAGTTTTCTGTTTGTTTAATTTAAATCCCACCACCCGACCAAAATCATTAATCAATTGTAATACTCTTTTCGTACTGGGCTCTGGCTTCTGCAAGGTCAAAACCAGGTCATCTGCAAAAGCTTTTAGTTTATATTGTTTCTGACCAACCTGAATTCCTTCCACCAACCGATCCCCTCTAATCATGTTCAGTAGCACTTCCAGAACCGAAATAAATAACAAAGGGGAAATAGGGCAACCTTGTCGTGTCCCTTTTTCAATTTTAAACTCTTCTGTAACCACATTATTAACTATCAGTTTAGCTTTCTGTTCTGAATATATCGCCTCAATCCCATTCTCAAAACCCCGTCCCACTCCCATCTCTTTCAAATTTCCCATCATAAATTTCCAAGAAATATTGTCAAAGGCCTTCTCCGCATCTATGAAAATTAAAACTGCTTTTGTATTTATATCTGTTTGCAGAAGTTCCAAGATGTCAATAATGTTCCTTGTGTTAGCAAACAGATGTCTACCTGGGAGAAAACCGGCCTGGTCCTTATGAATTACTTCATTTAATACTTTTTAAATCTACTTGCCAAAATGTCTGCAAATATTTTGTAATCCACATTTAAAAGAGAGATGGGACGGTAGTTCTTCAATTGTGTCTTTTCAGCTTCTGACTTTGGTATTAATGTGATGAACGCTTCCTTCCACGAATCCGGTGCCCTCTTCCCCTCAATAATTTCATTGCTGACCTCCATCAAAGGTTGTATCAAATAGTCTTTTAATGTCTTGTAATACTTGGAGGTCAGCCCATCTGGCCCTGGAGATTTGCCAAGTTGCATGTTCTGAATAGCTTGTTCAATCTCCTGTCGTGTTATTTTAGAGTTCAGGATTGTCCTGTTTTCTTGTGACAATTTAGATAGTCCATTTTTTGCCAAAAATTGTTTAATCTCAACTTCGTCTTAGGATGTCCCTGTTTTCATTGGGGAAATGCTGAAGGGTATGATGAGTGCTTTAAATATATCTTGTGGACGTGGCCCATGTTTCAGCTAATACAGCATGCTGTTCTCACAATGTCTCTCTGGGAATCCTATAAACAGCACAAGACCACCCACAATCCCTCATGACCTCAACACACCTTTGCCTCAGGAGTTGCCAGCCACATTTTCCACAAAAGAGACTCAATACCTCAGGCCTGGAAGGACAAACCTTTGCCACCTATTACACAATGGACTAAAATGCCCTTGCTACATGTAAACTTATTATTATGGGTTTGCGGGTGCCTTGACTCACCCGACGGCTAAATTCCTCTCTCTAATGGTGCTGGATCTAGTGGGTGTTAATCAATGCTTGGAGTATTAAGATGGGCTCCCAGGTGCTGAATTTAACAGTGTCAAAATACAGGCCAGGAATGTCCCGCTTTTCCTTAGGACGTCCCTATTTCCACTGGTGAAATGTTGGATGGTACTGAGTTATGCAACCTTCAAGCCAAGGAGGTACCGTAAGTAAGTAGACAGCCTTTAGAAAACATCTGAAGGCAGCCCTGTGTAGAGAAGTTTTTAAATGTTTTAATACGCTTTTATATATGTTGGGAAGTTGCTCATAATAATAATTACTCTTATGGAGTAGGACATCCCTATTTTCATCAGAGAAATGTTGGAGGGTATGTCAGACCCAATTAGTGAAGTCAATGGTCACGGATGAGGAGGCCTGTAGTCCAGCTCTTAGAGTTGTGTAACTACACAACCTTTAGAAGACATCTGAAGGCAGCCCTGTATAGAGAGGTTGTTTAATGGTTTTGTTGTTGTTGTTGTTGAATGTTGAAAGTTCCCAATGTTAAAAAGCCTCAGTTTCTTGGGGCTGATGATGACACCTGTTCAAATAAAACCAGCAAGTTCAGGTTTTATTCCCTGTGACCGGTTTTTTTAATGTGACAGAAAGTACAGCTCTTCATCCCAATTATCAGGGTTTTTGTTTTGTTTTGTAGCATGACAAAATGTGCAGCTTTTGCTCCATTGAAGAGAATCCTGATGCTTTCCCTCACCCAAACACTTCCATGATAGGGAAGTCGTAATTTCTCTAAATCTCAAGATGAAGTGTGTTGTCACTGAGAGATTCCCCTGCGCCAAGCTGTCACTTCTTTTGCAGTGGCTGGTGGATGTGCTAGTATCTGGGTCACCTTTCCCTACCCATCCACCTATTTGCCATTAGATGAACTTTATTAACTTATTTTTCTCTTTTGTGTTTTATTTCAATGGAGGCTGAACACTCCCCTGTTAACAGAAAGAAGTTCTTGTGAAAACATGTGGTCCATTAAGGCTTCTCTATCCCTGCTGTGGCACCGCCCCAACATTTCACTAATGTTTCATCTTTTCTGCCTCCTAGAAATCTTCTTTTCCTATGCTCCCCCACAGATCTTCCACTTCTTTTTTGTTTTTAAAGAAGCAGAAAAGCTACTCCACCCTGTGCTACTTCTGCACTATGTATGTACCTCTGTTACACAGGAGTGGATTGTTGCCCAATTTGTGGCCGATTCAACGACTAAAACATCCGCTGGAAATTCAATGAACAAGTTCAACTGGTAGCTTGCTGGGTCAACCAGGCAACACTGTCACAGCCTTGTTGAAGAAGAAGAAGAAGAAGAAGAAGAAGAAGAAGAAGAAGAAGAAGGGGAGTTTGGATTTGATATCCCGCCTTTCACTTCCCTTCAGGAGTCTCAAAGCGGCTAACATTCTCCTTTCCCTTCCTCCCCCACAACAAACACTCTGTGAGGTGAGTGGGGCTGGGAGACTTCAGAGACGTGTGACTGGCCCAAGGTCACCCAGCAGCTGCATGTGGAGGAGTGGAGACGCGAACCCGGTTCCCCAGATTACGAGACTACTGCTCTTAACCACTACACCACACTGGCTCTTGTTGTTTGGTTGCGGCCTGTGTTCCATTGATATATGGCATTTCCAAGCTGTTGCATCTTTCTAACGAAGCAAACTTACATGTTTCTGTGGTTTTTAAACTTTTGGAGGGCTAAAAATGTAACTTGAAAGGGTTGAGGGAAATACACTTTGTAAGAGCTTAAAAAAGAATGTTGAATGTTTTATTCTGTTTTTATATATGTTGGGAGCTGCCCAGAGTGGCTTGGGTAACCCAGCCAGATGGGTGGGGTATAAATAATGGAAAAAATTGTCTCTATTTTCATCAGAGAAATGCTGTGTAGCTAGCATCCCAGGAGAATTCATTTCTGCAGAACAAAGAGAGAGAGAGAAAGAGAGAGGCCACAATGGCTGAAGCCATCCAGCCCCCTGCCAGGACCACCTTGAGACCACAATGCCTTAGAAACTGAGGACTGGTTCACATGTCACAGTAAACCAGAAAAGGCCTAGGTCCCTTTCTGCACTATGCATTTAAAGCAGCATCACACCACTTTAAACAGTCATGGCTTCCCCCCATAGGATCCTGGGAACCTGTAGTTTAAATATAATGGGAGTTGTGAGGAGATCCCCCACTATTCCGCTCACAGAACTCCAGAACTTGTGAGTGGAATATTGAGGCATCTTCTCACAACTCTGAACAAACTACAGTTCCCAGGATTCTTTGGGAGAGGGAAGTCACATGACTCTTTAAAATGGCCACTGGTCTAGCTTGTTCAACAATGGCAACTCTTCCATTAGGTTTTAACCATTGCTGCGTCCAGGACCCCAGGAATTAGAAGGGACTCAGGTGTCATACAAACTGACCCTGCAAAACTTACATTATTACTAAGCCCAGGGAGACAATATGTTGTAAAACCTTCTTTCCAAAGCAGCAGAGTGTGCTCAATATACAGTACGTTTCCTTGCAGGAGGGCTCCAGAAGCCAGCTGGCAGGAGGAGGCCGTGGGGCTGCTCCAAAGGAGTCGGAAGAGGCCTGGATCTTTTGCCTCAGGCCTGCTTTCAAGAGTTGCACATTGGCTTAGTTTCCTGCTCTTCCATCAGATATTGTTGGGGAATGCAGCAGAGGGAGTGGACCTACAACTTGTTTTTCTTCTTTTGTTCAGTGCAGCCTCAGGGCTACTGAAAATGCTGTGAAACCTTGTTTCAAATACATTCAACGAGCCATAGTTATATAGGGTTGGCATACAAAAAATAAAATTCCTGGCACCTGGAGCTTTTTGGGAGGGGTAACCTAACCTAAGCTTTTTGAGCTGTTTCTGCTGATTTTTCCATCATGTTGACACACATTCGGGTTTCCCCTGACATTTTGCCGATTTGGCAAATTTTTCCCCTGACGCCGTTTTTACACCCCAAAACAAGGACATGTTAGGAATTCTCCTGACGTATGGCAAGCCTATAGTATTATAGATTTATAACTAAGTGCAGGAGGAGGATATCCAGCATTTCATAACCTCCAACATCTCTCCAATGAAAATAGGGACCCCCCATGCCATAATGAATCTTACTATTTGAAATTTTACTATTTATACTCTACACATCTTACCGGGTTGCCCCAGTGTTACGGAAAAATCTAGGTGGGAGGCTGCTCAGTTACCCAGCTTGTCGGGCAGAGCCCGCGGGTCCCTGCGGAATAAAGGAAGGATTCCAGCCAACCGGAGCAAATAGCTGTAGACCAAAGTTTATTGCGCAATAGGTTCAAAGAGGAAATTTGAACCCTGAGGATGGGGTGACAAAGACTTTTAAAACTTTCCCACCATATCCCAGAATACAGTTCGTACAGCATCATTGCTACATCATTGCTACATCACTGACATGTCACAAAAGGGGAGGGGTTAACTTTGGCAAACATGTCCAGACAAGTCCTTGGTACAAGATTAGCATAAGCAGACATGGCAGGGCAAGACTCAGGTATGAGATTAGCCACAGGCAAACACCTCTGAAGTCCCACCACCCAAAGTACAATAGAACTTGATTTGCATGTCTAGCCCCTTGGCAAGTTTGGTGATGGGATTAGGCTTTCCTTGGCCAACAATCAGCTCAGCAACTGTCACCTCTGGGAACTTCCTGGAGTCCTTTTTCAAGGGGAAAATAGCTTTGGAATGGAGGGAACTGGCAAAGGAGTTGATTTTATATTATTTTTAAAGCTAGGTAACTTCCCTGAGCTGTCAAGTTTTATATTATTTTTAAAGCTAGGTAACTTCCCTGAGCTTAGGTAACTTCCCTGAGCTGTCAAGTTGAAGGATACATTTTTGTAATTTCTGTAACACCCAGCCACTCTGGACCATTTCCAACATCTATAGAAACATAATAATCAAGCATAAAAAAACCCTCCCTAAACAAGATTGCCTTCAGAAGGCTCAGGGGATGGCGGTGGGTCAGATAACTCTATACGCTCCAACATTTCTCCCATGTTCTCTTACAATGGCAATGGCATCTGTATGAAAGGTGCCGGAACTGAGTTCTGGCTGAGAAAAAACGATGTTTATAGTTATATTAAATTCTTTATATATTTGCATACACAGTGGTACTTTGGTTCTCAAATTTAATCCGTTCCGGAAGTATATTCCAAAACCAAAGTGTTCCAAAACCAAGGCACGCTTTCTCATAGAAAGTAATGCAAAATGGATTAATCTGTTCCAGACTTTTAAAAACAACCCCGTAAACAACGGTTTAACATGAATTTTACTATCTAATGAGACCATTGATCCTTGTGTCTATATTCATTAATGAGAAATGCTTCAGGAGTAAACCCCAAGGAAAAAATCTGCTGCCTTACTGGAGTCCCTAAGATGGTTGGATGGTGCCTTATACACCTCCTTCTAGCAACTCCTGCAGCCAAGCTGGTGCCAAACATATTGCTCTGCTTTCCTTTGGACCACATCAGCGAGGCAGCTGAGGACCTCTATAAACAATGCCCAGGCTTGTACCCTGGAGAGGTCACTTCACTTTCACTTCACTCCCGGATATGAAACTCCATTGTCTTTCGAGATAGATGGGTGCCAACAATCCCCTATTAATCTAGGCTGTGTACACTTTTATGATTTAAAACTATTCATTGGCTGAGAGCTGATTCACTAATTCCGACAACAGCAAGTCAAGAGAGCCAACATATTACAACGTGGCACCACCCGAATCCCGTTCCACCCGCTGAAAGGGCAGGCGGAAGTACAGATGGCAGGATTTTCCCTAGCATTAATTCTGGGTATTGTATTCTTGGGAGAAAAGCAATGACAAACCTAGACAGCATCTTAAAAAACAGAGACATCACCTTGCCAACAAAGGTCCGTATAGTAAAAGCTATGGTTTTCCCAGTAGTGATGTATGGAAGTGAGAGCTGGACCATAAAGAAGGCTGATCGCTGAAGAATTGATGCTTTTGAATTATGATGATGGAGGAGAGTCTTGAGAGTCCCATGGACTGCAAGAAGATCAAACCTCTCCATTCTTAAGGAAATCAGCCCTGAGTGTTCACTGGAAGGACAGATCCTGAAGCTGAGGGTCCAATATTTTGGCCACCTCATGAGAAGAGAAGACTCCCTGGACAAGACCCTGGTGTTGGGAAAGATGGAAGGCACAAGGAGAAGGGGACGCCAGAGGACGAGATGGTTGGATAGTGTTCTCGAAGCTACCAGCATGAGTTTGACCAAACTGCGGGAGGCAGTGGAAAACAGGAGTGCCTGGTGTGCTCTGGTCCATGGGGTCACGAAGAGTCGGACACGACTAAATAACAACAACATTGTGGAAAGTGGCTGAACTGGCCCAGGATCTGCTGAGCCCCTTTGCTGTCACTTGACAGTGCTTGACCTGACTCTTCCGGGCTAATATAGTGCAAGCCAAGGGTTTGCCCGCCCATCCCTCGCCTTCTGTCCCAGCCAGCATGAGCAGGGGGGCAGTCGATGCAGTAGTAGTTATGATGTTCTGCCATGCTGCCTGGCCAGTTAAGATTGCTCCGACACTTATTTCACCACTATGACCTCTCCCCCATTCCTCACAGCATCCTGCATTGCTGGGCTATTTTGTCACCATTCCTGGTTGTTTGTTCGTGCGATAATCTGATGTTGAAGCCATTTATCTCAGCCTTCAAAATGTGTTCATGGGGAAAACAAATAGTGTTTCCAAAGAGAGTGGGCTGCCTTTGATCCTGTGAAGGCTTCTATTGTGTGCAAACCAACCCAACTTGAAATATAACTAGTCATGCGACAGAGAACTGTGACTTTCAGTGACATGGCTGCAGTTTCTCATACATTTTTTTTTTAAAAAGCAACCTCTCTCTTAATGCCCTTGAAGCTGACCCAGAAACTCCAGAGGGTGCAGAATGCTGCAGCGAGGCTCCTCACGAGGTCTCTGCCATGGGAGCATATTCACCCAGTGCTTTTCAAGCTGCACTGGCTCCCGGTGAAGTATAGGGTCAGATTTAAGGTGCTGCTTTTGACCTTTAAAGCCCTTCACGGCCTAGGACCCTCGTACCTACGGGACCGCCTCTCCCGGTATGCCCCACGGAGAGCCTCAAGGTCCATAAATAGCAACACCCTAGTGGTCCCGGGCCCTAAGGAAGTTAGATTGGCTTCAACCAGAGCCAGGGCCTTTTCAACTCTGGCTCCGGCCTGGTGGAACGCTCTGCCTCATGAGACCAGGGCCCTGCAGAATCTGATTTCTTCCTGCAGGGCCTGTAAGACAGAGTTGTTCCGCCTGGCCTTTGGCTTGGAGCCAATTTGATTCCCTCCCTCTCTTTCTTTTTTCCTTTCCTTCTCCTCCTGCAATGAGGCTACATTTTAATATTTTAATGTTTCAATATTTTAATGTTGTATTTTAATTTTGTTTTTAAGTTGTAATCATTCAACTTGTTTTTATTATTGCTTGTAAGCTGCTCTGAGCCCGGCCTTGGCTGGGGAGGGTGGGGTATAAATAAAAATTATTATTATTATTATTATTATTATTAAAAACATTATAGGGTTGATTTTGGACCTCTTATTACTATGGGCTAGAGAAGTACTCCCCTGCCTTTATGGAATGGTGACCCAAATGCATTAGCTGAGATTCCTGTATTGCAGGGGGTTGGACTAGATAACCCTTAGGGTCCCTTCCAACTCTATGTGGCTATGATTCTATGAAATTCACTTGGTGCAGCGAGTGACTCGCTGTTCCATGGTCACA